CTATGTTCATGGATTGGGAGAATTAATATTGTTAAAGTGGGCATACTGCACAAAATGATCTGCAGACTCTGCAGTCTCCATTAAAATACCAATGCCATTTTTCACAGAACTAGAAAAAGCAATTCTAAAGTTCGTATGAAAATTCAAGACCCAGAATAGCCAAAGCAATCCTGAGCAAAAAGAGTAATACTGGTCCAGGGGTTTAACTCAGAGGTACTTCACCCGCCTTGTAAGCACAAGGTTCTGAGTTCAATCCCCATTACCACCACCACCCCTGCCAAAAATTATGCTGCAGTCATCTTAATACCTGATTTCAAGACATACTTCAGAGCCATAATAATGAAAGCAGCATTGCACTGGCATAAAAACAGATCCACGAACAACAGAACAGAATAGAAGACCCAAATAAATGTATACATCTATCACATGATTTTCAACAAAGGAGCCAAAGACATCCACTGGAGAGAGGAGAGCCTCTGTAACAAATGGTGCTGGGAATGAAGAAGTGTAAACTCTCTCACTCCTGAAAAATCAATCGAAAAAGGGTCACAGACCTTAATGGAAGACTTGAAACTTTGGGTTTGGGTTCGGTTAGTTTGTTGGTTGAGGGTTTTTTATTTGCTTTCTTTTTGAGATAGGGTCTCGCTATTTAGTTCAGCCTGGCCTTGAACTCACAGCAATCCTCCAGCCTCAGCCTCCTGAGTGCTAGGATTATAGGTGTGTACCACCACACCTGGCAAATCTGAAACTTTGAAACTACTAGAAGATAACATGGAGGAAACACTTCAAGATATCAGCACATGCAGTAATTTCCTAAATAGGACTCCAGAAGTCCAGGAAACAAGGAAATAATAAATGAGAGTACTTAAAATTTAAAAGCTGCACAGCAAAGGAAACAACAGAATGAAGGGAAAACTTACAGAATGAGAACAGCTTTGCCAACTCTTCATTTAACAGAATTAAGATACAGAATATATAAAGAACTAAAAAAAAAATTAAAAACCACAATAAATGAGAAATGATCTGAATAGATCATAAAAAAGGAAATAAATGACATAAGTATATGAAGAAGTGCTCAATCTCTTTAGTCATCAGGGAAATGCAGATCAAAACTACACTGAGAGTCCATGTTATCCCAGTTAGAACAGCTGTTACAAAAACAAAAACAAAAAATGCTGGTGAGGTTGCAGAGCAAAAGGAACCCTAATACACTTTTGGTGGAAACATAAATTAGCCAATATGGAACACAGCATGAAGGGCCCTCAAAGCACTTAAAGTAGAACTACCATATGATATAAATATACCAACCCTAGATACATATCTGAAGGAAATGAATCAGAATATAAGAGAGACACCTTCATACCCATGTTATTGTAGCACTATTCACAGTAGGTATGATATAGACTCAGCCTAACTATCAACAGAAGAATGGATCAAGAAATATGGTACATGTACACAGTGAAGCAACATTCAGCTATAAAAAGAATAAAGTCCTCTCTTTTGCAGAAAAATGGATGGAAGTATGGATGTTATGTTAAAGTGACATAAGCCAGACTCAGACAAATATTCAGGATATTTTGCTTTTGGAATTTTGTTTTTGTGCTGAGGATTAAACCCAAACCCTTGCATGGGGGAGGCAAGCACTCTGCCACTGAGCCATATTCCTGCCCCAGACTCAGACAAGCATTACGTTTTGTCTTTTATGTGAAGGCTAAACAATGAAAGCAAAAAAGATGTCCTGAAAATAGAAAAAGGACTATTAGGATCTAGAAAGAAGGTGGGAAAAGGAAGGGAAGATATGATCAAAGCTTTTTATGTGCACGTGTGGAAATGGAGCAGTGAAAGCCATTAATTTGTACAATTAATATGTATTAATACTGCTGGGCCTTGTAGCACATGCCTGTAATCCCAGCACTCGTGAGGCTGAGGCAGGAGGATCGCTGTGAGTTCAAGACCAGCCTGGGCTACATAGTTTCAGGTCAGTCTCAACTACATAGTGAGACCTTGTCTCAAAAAAAAAAAAAGAATACTTAATAAAGAAGATGGGATATTTGAGGATATCCTAGAATTATTAGACATATTTCACTTTGATTCTTTCGAATGGGGCCTGGAAGATAAAGAGACATCTAATTGTAAAAACTAAAAAAATTGCAGCATTAATTTCTTCTTGAGTTTCCAACATGCTGGCCTGCCCAACAGATTTTAGAATTACTAGCCCCCACATACATGTGAGCCAATTCCTTAAAATAAATCTCTATATATGTATGTACAAGTATACATATATCTTATTTCTCAAGAGAACCTGAGAGTACAGCATCTTTTTTTTCCCCCAACAAGATGTGAGGCCATCATGTGAGAATAAAGCAGAAGATAATGGAAAATGAGAGAGTACAGATTGTTTGAACTATTCTTTGGTCAGTATGAAAGAATGAACTGCCATAAGAAACAATTAGATTTTTAGCCAGTGTTGAAGGCTCAGAAGAGGTTAGTGAACAGCATCCTCTTCTGTCCTTTTCTGGAAAGCTTCTGTTTTAAGGCTTAACCTCTATGGCCTAATGTAACTTGAGGACTGCCTTGCTGTTCCCAGGAAGGACTGTCTATACCCTTATTCATGCCCTTACTGAGCTCTTGTTCACCAGTATGTTAAGATGGGTAACCAAACATATCAATTGTATCAACTATCTATTATCTACCAGGCTCTATTCTAAGTATTTTATATACATTAATTCATTTAATCCTAATCACCCTATAAGACTATTGTCTTCATTTTCAAAAGATGAAGTCAGGATTTCAGGCAGTCTAACCCCAAAGCCAGTCTCCTTACCCACTAGGAAGATTGTTATGCATTCATGTATCTTCTGTATGAATATTTTCTGATCTGCTCATGGTGCCTCACCTAAGCGGACTGCTATGGGATTGCTACTGCTATGGAGCTTATATTTCTAGTCAGGACAAATAGTAAACAAATACATATTTATATGAGATAGTGATTGGTCCTGTGGGAAAAAATAATTTAGGACAAAGAGGTTAAAAATGTTGAGAAGAGAATTGCCATTATCTATTGGGTGGCTAGGGAGGACCCAATAATAAGGTGGTATTTGAGCAAGGACTTTGAAATGAGGGTACTGAAGCCTTCAGGACATGTGGAAGAAAGAGTGTTCAGTACTCTGCTGTTCAACTAGTAGTGTAAGCCACTAGTCCACCCTTAGCATCCACTTCCTCCTTTCTTTACTAATAGAACCCCTGCATTTTATCTGGGTACGTTATGACTAAAGATTAGATTTGGTAGCTTTAGTTACAACCAGGTATGGCCATGTACTTGAGTGATGTAGGAAGTTACCAGACTGTCCTTCCCAAAAAGGTATGCCTTCTCTTTTCTCATATCACTAGTTAGGATGGACCCCAGCAGACATAGTGGTGAGCCCTCTGGGACTTTGAAGACAGGGACAAGGCAGAACAACTAAAACACTGCATGTTAGCCCTGGAGTACTTGAATAGTTATGTGAGGTAGAAAAATAAACTTCTGTCATGTTTAAGTCATTGTATTTTGAGTCTCTTTATTACAACATATGTGTGATAAGCAAAATCTTGGTCTCTGAGATACCCTGCCTATGGTATGTACACTGTGCTTATCCCCAGGACCAGCAATGTGACGCGCTGTACTTCTGTGATTGTTACATTTCATGGCACATTTGATCTTAAAAATTAGCTGAGTGAACCTTATTTAAGCCACTTAAAAGCAGGAGTGTTCCTTGACTGGCTGCAGAAAAGGACATGAGAATAATGTGGAGCGTGAGAAGCGTCTGAGGCGTGTTTTCTGGCTGGAAGAAAGAGGGGCACGGTGCAGCGAAGGCAGATGACCTCTGGATATGAAAGTTGCCTGTGACTGATAGCCAAGAAAGGAAAGAGACCTCAGTCCTACTACAGCTGCAAGGAGCTAAGACCTGCCAACAAGACTGAGCTTGGAAGTGATTTTTTTTTTTTTTTAACCTCTCAGAGCTTCCAGATGAGAATCCATCACAGTCTTCACTCTGATTTCAGTACTCTGTTCATACACACAGCAAAGAACCCAGCCAAGTCATGCTGGACATCTGATCTGTAGAACTGTGATAATACCACTTGTGTTGTTAGGCTGTTTAGTTTGTAATAATGTGTTACACAGCCACAGAAATCTTTTGTATTAGTGAATCTCCTCCAAGGGACCAACCACAGGTTCAGAAGTTTGTTGTCTACATGCTGGAGAACCAGGAAAGCTAGTGTGTAATTCAGTTCAAGTCCGAAGCCATCCAAGGGTTCCAGTGTCTGTGGGCAGGAGATGGATGTCTGTGCTCAAAAACAACAAATTCACCCTTCCTCTGCCTTTTTGTTCTATTCAGATGGCAAGATGATGAAAGGAACAGCTTTCTTTTGGGGGAGAGCATAGAACCCTAGTTTTAGAGAGCATAAGCCCCTGGTTTTAGACCTTTTAAGTTTTAAAGTTTGAACCTGGCATAGTGGAACTCACCTGTAATTCTAGCTCGTGGCTCAGGCAGAAATGCTGTAAGTTAGAGGCTAGCCTGGGCTACAACAGTGAGTTCAAAGCCAGCCTGAGCTATGTAGCAAGAGACTACTTTAAAAAAAAAAAAAAATGAAAGATTAGGGCCAGGCAAGGTGCACATGCTTTTAATCCCAGCACTAGAGAGGCTGAGACAGGAGGATCGCTGTGAATTTGAGACCAGCCTGGGCTACATAGTGAGACCCTGTCTCAAAAAAACAAAACAAACAAAGATTTAAAATTTGAGATACTTTTCAACTATCCAAGTGATGATATAGACAGTTTGATATACAAATCTGGATTTCATAGTAGATGTAAGATTGGATTTCTTTTTTCTTCCCTCCCTTTTCCTTTCCTTCCCTTCCCTTTCTTTCATCATTAAGCTGAATATTTAAAAGTCAACCTTTCCTGGATACCCAACCCCCATCTAGATCTGGAGCTCTTGGAGATTAAGATTTTGTTTTACCTTATTCGGGCTTTCTTCTGCGAGTCGGGGTGGGGCTGCTGCGTATTTTCGAGGGGGAAAGGGGAGTGAGTCCCGAGGGCAAACCTCACTGGGACCTGGCAGTAGTTTAACCAGTGAATAAACAGTCACATGGATGAAACTTGTTCTCGGTACCTCAGATCGTCGTTCTTTTCAGACCCTGTGGGTCGTCCGCGGGCCTCTCCGGGCCCCGCCCACATGCGACCCCACCCCATCCCGGTTGCCCCGCGGCGCTACGCCCAGGCTCGGGACCTCAAGGTCTCTTAACCGTTCTAACAGCTGGGAGCAGAGCAGCTGCTGGCCTCGGCTCGGGATCCGCTTCCCTTGGTCCCCAGGACGGACGTTGCCCCGTCCCCAGGAAGGCGCCCTCCCACGAGCTCCTGCGGAGCACCTCCTCCGCCTTCCTCTTTTAAGCTCACTCCTTTGCCCCTTCCTCCTCTAGGTTCCATTGCACCCCGACCACCTGTTCGTGGTTTCACTCCTTTGGCTTTGTGTCCTCACCGGCTTCTCAGCCTGTGGGCGAAGCCGTCAGGGGACAGGGGCTTTGCAGCCTTGAATGAAAACTCGTTCCTCCCCTTCATCTGATCGCTGCCTCCACTCGAGCTTCCTCTCCGCGACAGAGGTTCTCTGGGTGAGCCCTCGTCGGTGAACCTGCTTTCCTGGTCAAGTGATCCCTTGTGTGCCTACCTCTCTGTGTGGGGGTGGCTGTGACTAGGGGGATCCCGCGCCTGGGACAGAGTCTAAGTGCACCCGCTTCTCCAGCAGGCGCTGCCCAATGAAACGCCGTCAGCAGAGCTGGCCCTCTTCCCTTCCTTTGCCTCCCATACCCCTTAGGCCAGGTGAGGGGGCTGGGCGGTGGGAGGAACTCCGGTGCAGGGAGGGCTCCTACCTCTGACCTGGGCCTGCTTCTCAGTCTTTGGGCAAGCAGCAGGGAAGTATTGAGGGTCTCCGGAAAGGCACTTTGCTGGTCTGCCTCTTCTGATCCATCCTTTTTCTGGTCCTGGGTCCTCTCCTTTTCCCCCCAACCCCACGGACTCTGCCCAGAGCCTGAGGGCCCTTTTCCTCCCCACTCTTCTGGGCTGGGCCACGCAGGTCAAGTCCAGAAGCAGAGAGCCTGGAACTGGCATCTGGAGCCTGAACTGTGGGCAAGGTCACTTCGACAGCAGCTGAACGCCCAGCTCCTCTTGGGCCTGAAAGACAAGGGTTTGTCTCTTGATGCAGTATCATCGGATACCCTGGACTCTTGGAACTCAGTGTGTAGCGTGGACAGCACAGCAAAGCCCCGGACCTTCCAGACAAGACAGAGTCAATTCCGTATGACAGCGACTGACTCGGAGCAGTCTACAGTGCTGCAGCTACTGCTAGCTGAGCTCCAAACTCTGTTCTCAGCTGTGCTGCAGGACTGCAGCCCAGCAGCTTGGCGCTACCTGCATGCAGTACTGGGTCTCCTGCCTCCGTATCGTGAGTTGCTAGTTGGTCACCTTGATTTGCTACCCTTCCTGGAGCAGCTATACTGCTGGACACCCTGGGTCCAGTCCCAACTCCAGCTCGACCTACTAGGTGCCATAGACCAGGCTTTTCCCCCAGACAACTCTTTGTTATGCGGCACCTCCCATGTTGATTGCCATCCCCGAAGGAAGAGGTTCCATCAAGGGCCCTCGTGCCCAGCCTGCCCTTTTGTGCAGGCCCGGTGGGGTGGGCAGCCAGTAAAAGAGGAACTGGCCACATGGCTGCGACCATTGACACTGCCTGAGCTACAGCACTGCCTGGGCATTATCGGTGCTGAGATGGCCCTGGAAGAGGCCCAATGGTTGGACGGTCTTAGTCTTCTGCCCTTGGCACTAGCTACAGACATCCCTGTGCAGTATAAAAGCAGCGACACTAACAACATAGAAGAGGAGCCTGTCGAAAGCAAAGAAACTAAGTGAGTGACCCAGTCGGGATTTGAGCAGAGGAGAAAAAAGTCCATTTAGGGTGCCTCTAGGGCCACTTGTGGCCTACAGCCAACTCACTATTGTGCTTAATTGAGCTTATGGATTAGCTTGACCCCAAGCTGAGTTGGTATGAGGCTGCTCCTACCGTTTTGTCTGCACAATAAGCCTAGTGTCTTAATGTTAATCCCCACAGGGAAATGCAGAAATTGAAGTCAAAAGTCAGCTATCAGGAAATCAAAGCTTCAAAAAACAACTTGACTTACCACAGTTCATACACTTCTTTCTTAGATGGTGCCAGAAGCCAGCTTAGTTCTTTTTTCTCACTCTTTCATGATTATTGAGCTTCGCCTCTAGGCCTGACTTATGCTGGGCCCTAGATGCTTGGTAGCGGATCTTTAGGATACTCCTAGGGAGCGCTTGCCTCCACAGGTCTGTGTAAGCTCCATGGCAGAGTATAGTAGGCAGCACCACTAGATGGGATTTCATCCTGCTCCTTTCAAGCTTTTCATCCTGCCTTCCCAATGTGGGCTTTCTGACCCCTGAAGTAATGATTTCCCCCTAAATTATGGCTGTCTGAGCTCTTCAGGATTTCAGAATGCCTATAGAGACTTCCTCTTTTGAAGATATTTTAGCGTTACTCTTTGTAGTTTTCCTTGTCCTTTGGCTTAATTTTCCAGGTGTTTTGTAGTTCGTCTATGAAACATTCACTGTCTGGGAAAAAGGTTAGTTTCACCTTTAATCAAGCTTGGCTTCCTCAGTTTTTGCTCTAAGTTTATGCCTGGGTCAAATTTCTCCTGGAGTCTCAAAGATCTGATAGTGGACTGGTAGGCAATAATTTATGCCTTTTTCTTTTTCAAAGAGCTGCCCTTTGTCCTGAGTATAAGTTCCCCCTTCCCCTAACTGAAATGACAATGGGGTGAGATGTTGGGAAGAGAAAGGGAACCAGTTCTCTTCCCTTGCTTTGAACCTGGCAATAAACCTCTGCAATTTAGCTAATAAAGCTTAATTTACATTATTTTCCAGGACTGGCTGCTCAGGCATTCATTGAATAAGACCTGCTAGATGCTGGGGATACAAGACAGGGCAGATCCAATACATTCCCATGGAGGCTTACACTTTAGTTAAGAAGATAGATATAGATACCGTAACACAAATAAAATATAATTATAGCTTGTAATTAATATTGTGAAAAAAACAACACCATCTTTCTTCTGGTTGCTTTTCTGGGGAGAGAGGCAGAGAGAGACAGGGACAGAGCGAGAGATGGAGAGACAGAGAAGAGAGGAAATGGGAAAGCACATCAGAGGAAGTTGGGGCTGGATTAAATTAGCAAAATATCTTACAGTTTAGGAGGCATCATTCAGTAGTGTTCAGTGCTACTAAGGCAAGTAAGAATCAGGAAATTATAAGCATTTAGCAACAAGGAAAAGTTTGGTGCCAGCAGTTTCAGTGGAGTTTGTGGGAGGATTATGAGTGGAAGATGAAGTGGATATCTCTTACTATTCTTTCATGACGTTTCATTTGAAAGGAAAAGATAGTAGAACAGCAGCTTGAAGTAATTGGTGTCTGGATAGGATTATTTTTAAAAGTAGATGTTTATAGCCGGGCTTGGTGGTGCATGCCTGTAATCCCAGCACTCAGAAGGCTGAGGCAGGAGGATCCCTGTGAGTTTGGGGACAGCCTGGGCTACATAGTTCCAGGTCAGTCTCAACTACATAGTGAGACACTGTCTCAAAAACCCAAATAAATAAATAAATAAATAAATGTAGATGTTTATAGCTAGGTGTGGTGGTGCATGCTTGTAATCCCAGCACTAGGGAGGCTGAGGCAGGAGAATTGCTGCAAGTTTGAGGCCAGCCTGGGCTACATAGTGAGTTCAAGACCAGCTTCATAGTAAGGCACTGTCCAAAAAAAAAAAAAAGTAGATGTTTATAACCCTTAAAACAGTTCTTGAGAAATAGGTACCTAATAACTATTTGTAGGCTAAATTTTGCAAAAATGTAGCTCAATGTTAGTCTTCCCACTACATTTTTGTCTATTTTGGAAAAGATAGTTATTTTCCATAAAATTTTTAATTATATTAAAATGTTCTGGATTTATTATTATTTACTTATTTATTTGTTTTGCTTTTTCTGTGCTGGAGATGGAACCCAGGATCTTAAGCATGCTGAACATATACTCTACCCCTGAACTGATCCCCTAGTCCTATTGCTATTTTTAAATGAATTTTAAATAAATATTTCAAAATTTTTGTTCTAAAATCAAAAAATTAACAGGCTAAGGTAAGAAGAGAAGATTTAAAATATATCATAGAGAGGGGCTAAGGTTTCCAGAGCACCGATAGATTAACCTTGCAGAGAAGAAAGAACACCTCTTCCTCTCACATTGGAAAACACAGATAAGGATGTGGCAAGGCAACTAAAATTGAGTTCGTTCATGGCTCACAGCTATAGTTTCTTCCAGGCAAGAAAGGTAACAAAGAATGGGATTAGGTGCTTGGCAGGGCCAGGCATGGGGTTAAGGTACATAGCTTGAGGGACCTGAAAGAGGTGGCTGCTTGAGAACTTGTACTAAGATATAAAAACAAATTGAGCCTATAATCAAGATTGGACACTAGAGATCTGTAGAGGAAACAGTATTCTCTATTATATGAGCTTCTGAATCTACTATATCATATAAGGCTTTTTTTTTTTTTTTGTACCAGTGATCGAACTCGGGACCTTCCACTTGTGAGGCAGATGGCAGAACCACTGAGCTAAATACCCCGCCCTATCATATAAGGTTTTAACTGCTAAGGAAATGAATAATAGCACTTATTTTATTTAAGATGACCTGACCCAATATCACAGTCATAAGCCATATTGTTGATATGATCTCTAGAGCAGGATTGCATTGTAATGCTTGAAGTGATAAAGTTTGGGTCAACTAATGATATTACTATACTTTAAGGCTAAATTAAATCATTCCTAGGTTCTTGTTGTTTCTCTTTGTTTTGTGCTATGAGGTCACCCCAACCAAAATTATTAGTGAGTTCTTAGATGATTAATTTTCTTAGCAATTTTGTTGACCAGTGTGGTTAAGAACAAGAAGATGAGACCGATGTCATAAAAGGGTAAGAAGTTGAGACTAATATGGTAGAAGGATAAGAAGATGAAAAGGCTTCAGGAGATTTGAAGGACACACCACCAAATCATGGTTGAAAAAGAAAAGACTGAAGTTTAAGTGATGATGATGGGAAGGGCAAGAATGGCGATGGAATTGAGAGCAATCATAATAGGATAGAGATCATACAGGATCAGGAACCAGGTTCAATGGAAGCAAAGATAGGAGATCAGATCTAGAAGGTTAGGAAGGTTAACAGAGAGGAGATATCCAGGACAGTGAACTTACAGGATGATGAGCTGAAAAAAAATTCTTCCTATTATTTGTACACAATATTGTGTAATACTGACGTCATAATAATCACAGTTAATCCAGAATGATTATTCATTTGAAAGGAAAAGGTTCACACACTGTAAATTGCAGGACAGATCCAGTTTTGCCCAGTATGTGACATCCAGGTATAGGTAGTAGGCAGGCCTACAGTGTTATGTCACACGCCCTCAGATACCTGACCTGGCTCCTTTCACAGGCTAGCAGTGGCAAGGTGCAACTCTAGGTACCTGACCTCTTTCTTTTCCTTTTCTCTCTTGATCTTTTGTATACAGGTCTTGGTTTGACTATGAAGTTCCTGGGGAGAAGCCCTTCCGAAAAAGAAGTACTAGCTCCTCATCTGAGGCTTCGTTCTCAGGCAGCCAGACATTGACCGTTTTGAATACAGAGAAATACCTGAAGAAGATTCACTTCCTCTACCTCAATGTGGCTCCCAGTCGGTACTTTCGGTAAAAGCCTGTATCCAGACCTCTGCTAAGCTGCCCACTCCCGGATTTCCTCCCCTGGAGTCTTCCCCTTCTTTTCCTCCCCATGTCCATTCTTCTCCCCTTCTTCCTCACCATGCTTCTCAGCTATCTCCACTTGCCCTTCTTCACTTCTCCTCAGCTCCTCTTGTCTACAATCTGCCTTGTTTTTCCTACCCTTTCTCTAACAGCCTTTTTTCTCCATCACCCTTTTCTCAGCTTTTGCTCCTTCTACTTTATTCTATTCTAGAATGAAACATTTGATCACAGCCTCAGAAGCAAATTTGATGATAATCTCATCCAACTTCAGTGAAAAAAATCAAATGTTTAAATCTTTATAGTATTTGGGAAGCTTTGTTTCTTTCCAAAGGCATCCTGTTCCTTAGACTGAATCAAAATCTGCCATATTTTAACTTCCATCTCTTGGCCCTAATTTTATCTCTGGGCTATAAAAACAAGTCTCCTCCTTCCATATGACTTGTGGCATAACTTTTCTCCAAATCTTACTTATTTTTTAAAAATATTTAAATTTTAAAATGTTTTATCTATTTATTTTGTGGCATGAGGATTCAACCCAGAGTGTTTCACATAATAGGAAAGTGCTCTACCTCTGAGCTACATCCTCAGTTGAATTTTAAAAATTGCAGTGGTGACAGAATGGGGGTCCCCTGTCATTGCCCCAGGTGTGGCAGCTCTCATAAGATCACTATGTCTCTATGTTCAAAAACTGGCCCTTCTTGGAGGGCTGCACCTGCACCCTGGAGCAGGGGATGGCTGAGGCCCACTTCATCCACTGACCCAAGGAGACCAAGCCCGATTTGGCACAGTGTGTCTTCTGCTCAAGGAGCCGGAAGGCTGGTAACCCGATGACAACCCCATAGAGGAGCATAAAAAGCGTTCATCTGGCTGTTCCTTCCTTTTTGTCAAGAAGCAGTTTGAAGAATAAACTCAGCAAATTTTTGACACTGGACAAAGAGAAAGCCAAGCACAAAATTGCAAAGAAAACCAACACTTTCAAGAAACTGCAAAGAAAATCCACTGTGCCGTCGAGTAGCCGCTGCCTTGAAGAGAATCCTTTGCTGTGGTCACCGATCCTGGAGTAACAATCATGTCCAAGGCATGGCCCAAGTGCTTCCAACCTTTCTGTCCCTTAGGAAAAGAGAGCACCAAAATTTTGAAATTGGATACTTAAACTGATTTTCATTTTCTCTTGAAAGTAACACCAGTGGCTCTTCTAAGTGACTGCTGCTACTGACCACGGTGGCTACATCTTTTTCTTTGGTAGCTTTTTGTCCTCCAAGTCCTGGAACTTACTAGGTGAGGAGTGAGTGAGGAAGAAGACAGTGTCCTTGTGACTGGACCTGTTTGTGGAAAAGAGAGTTAAATGCCAATCAAGGGGTTTCTGGTCTTGATGTTTCCATTTCTCTGTAAATCAGTTAATGTGTGTTGGGCTGCCAATAATTCACCTGCCCTTTTCTTGTGCGCTTTCTGAGAAGAGAGCAATGGAATAAATTAATTTAAAAAATCGTTGTCAACTATAGTTTTCCTACTGTACTGTACAATGTTAGAAGTTACTCGTCCTCTCCATCTGTACCTCTGTTCCAATTAATCGTTCTCTCTCCGTCCTTCCTTCTCCCCACTCCTCCCACCTGTGGACATTTTTTCTGCATTTCAGCAGGCCTGAAATTGTGATGCATCTTGCAAATAGACGGATTGTCACATTGGAAAAAAATTTTTCCTCTCAGTGTTTCATAAAATAATGCTGTAGCATTATTGTCATAAACTTCATGGGATATGAGCTGTCTAGGTCAGGAGATAGAACTTGGACCAGGATAGCGACTTTTTTCTCTCTCTTTTTTTCCCTTTTTACTTTTTTCTCTTTAATAATATTTGTTCCATTTTTCAGTTTGAAAATCACTCTGCTCTTTTTCCCATCTTCCTATTTTCTTCTGCTTTCCTTCCTGCTTCCTTTTTAATCTCCAGCCTTTTCATGTGTCTTCTTGAAATCTGGACAAGTTCCTTCAGTTTGTGCTGAGCTCTCTCTCTCTCTTTTTTTTTTTTTTTTTGTAGGCCCTATGACCTAGTGGTGGTGCCACCAAAAAGGGTGAATCCTGAGCACTACATCTTCTCTCCCTTTGGGGTCCTGCATATACATCCCGAGGAGGGCAGTGAGGCTATGACACTGGGTGACTGGCACCACCAGTCTGTTCTCTGGCAACAGCTCCAGTTCATTCCGTTCTTTAAGTATTGCCTTGTACGCAAGGCCTTGACCTGGTAAGTGATGGTGGAGTTGGGACTGGGGGAAATGGATGGCTCAACACTGTGTTGGTTGTCATTGACCTCTAATCTGTAGTTGGAAGAAGAGTGTGAGGTGGCAGGGCCTGTGTCGGCTCCGGACTTTCCTAGGGAATCACCTGCTCTTGGCTGTGCCCCACTTTGGAGCTGGGCTTCTCCATATTAACAGGTAAGTTTTAATACAATTTCAATGGATTGTTAAAATTATTTTCACAAATGGTAGTATATCACTGCAGAAAAATTACAAAACAGAAAAGCACGTAGAAAAATATCTAATCCACTACCCATAAATAGCCATCATGAACATTTTATTATATATATCCTTTTAGTCTTTTTTCCTATTACATATAGAAAATGTGATCCTATATTACATAGTCAGTATTTTTTTCTCTGAATCATATATTCTGAACATGTAATTACTTGTCCTTCTACATAATCTTACCTCAGATACTACACAATTATTTAGTGTCAAGCCTTGGGGAGTCGAACTCAGGAGTTTGAATGCAAAGTCTTCTCTTTGTTCTTCCCGTGCTGTTATTTTACTCTTTTGGGGAAGGAAGGGGAATGGGAAGGTTGCTTACTTTCAGTACTTTCTTGCCTCCCTTCATGATGCTTCAGCTATTCCCAGGTATACTCTATGATAGGAGTTACAAACTCAAATGTTTGTGGGGCCTCAGCAGGAGGTATGTGGTCGTTAGTAAGACATTAGGGATAAAGGGGAACTCCAGTCTAGACATTACATCTAAATAGAGCAGTCACTTCCCAGTTACAACTAATTGTTGCCATTTGGGAATATAGATCCAGTGTGACCAGCCACTTTATTTTTCCAAGATTTCCTGGAAGTCCACATTTTGTGATAAAATACTTAATTTTAACTGTTTGGCTTTGATTTTAATGAAAACAGTGTGCTGAATAACTCTTAGTGATGCTCACTGGAAAACTTTTCAAGCTGAATTTGACCCACTGTGTGTGAGTTTGCAGCCTCTGCTCTAGGTAGATTCCATTCTCCAGTGTCACCTAGTCATCATGGTGTAATTCAAAGCATAAGAGCTTGGGAGAGCGGACAGATATGAATTTATTTTCTGAACACTAGCATGGAGTTCATTCTTTGAGCCTCAGTGTTCTGATCTGAAAGCTAAGATAAAGATATTTGCTAGAACAACTTAATGGGAATGAAATGAGATTGTGGATATGTAGTACCAGTAGGCACTAAATAAATGACATCCATTATGATCATCCTGTATCCTTTTTTGGGGGGATCTTCAATATTTTTAAAGGATATTTACAGATAACGGAGTTCTTTGAGAGAGAAGAGGAAAGTAGAAAACAAAAGTTGGTTGCAGGGGATTTAGCTCAGTGGTTCTGCTACCTGCCTTGCAAGTGCAAGGACCAGAGTTCGATCCCCAGTACCACCAAAACAAACAAACAAACCAAAAAAAAAAAAGAAAAAAAAAGAAAGAAAAGAAAAGAGTTGGCTTCCTCAGAGATTGTCAACCTATGGAAAAGTCACAATTTAGCATTTGATCCTAAATCTCATTTGTCTAACTATACATTTAGGAACTTCAGGTTCCCTTATTCCAAGGAAGAAGACTCTTTTTCTCATTTTATATGTTGGACCATTGATACTATTTGGCATTCTCTTCTGGCAAAGAGATCACTAGGTATATTATGCTAGTCAGCTTTCCACTGTGACAAAATACCTGAGAGAAATGAAAAGAAAAAAGATTTATTTTGGCTTATGGTTTCGAAGGTTTCAGTCCATGGTTGCTTGATTCTGTTGCTTTGGGTTGGTGGCAAGGCAGAACATCATGGCAAGGGAGCACATGGTGGAGCAAATCTGCTCAAATTATGGTAGCAGGAAGAGGAAAGAGAGGGAGAGAGGGAGAAGAGAGAGAGAATATGCCCTTTAAAGCACATCTCCAATTACTTACTTCCTCCAAGTAGGTCCAGCCTCTTAAAGTTTCCACCACCAGTCCATGGTCCATTAAGTTATTAATCTATAAAGGGATGAATTCTTTTTGACCCTTATGGCCCAATCATCTCCCAAAGGCTCCACATCTGAACAGTGCTGCACTGGGGACCAAACTTTCAACACATTAGCTTTTACTGGACCTTTACACTAGAGGTAATCATCAGTACATACCATGAGTCTTCCAAATAGTTCCCAGCCAGTAACTTTCTGGGTTTTAACTTTTCCAAAGAACACTCAAGAGAAAGCTGTCACCATTGATCACTGAGAATATTACAGTCTTCAAAAACATTTGCTCAGTCTGGGACAAGCTGGATTTGGAACAGGTCAAAGATGTCCAAGGAAGGAGGGCTGGGATGCCAGCTCTAACTAACTTATTCCTTGATTCCAGGCTTCTGCAGGAGCTACACTCTGTGCCCTGGCTACCCCAGGAGCCAGATCAGTGCTATGAGCTACTGGATCTGAAGAAGGCTCTAGTCAAGGAGAACAGGAAGGCTCTACAGTTACTCCATCGCTGTTTGAACCTCTGTACTTCTATTCTTCAACTGGTAAGAAGCTCCAGATTACTGAGTCTTTTCTCCAAACTGAGCTCCCCAGAGTTGCATCCTCCTCTTAGTCAGCTCCTCCTAGGATCCCCTGAGTGACCTGGACCCTGCAGTTGGCTCACATCTATTGTCCTCCCTAGCAACAGCAGTCTCTGCACTGGGACAGATGGATCATTAACAGACGAACAGATTAGGACTCAGACTTTCCCTAAGGGTTGCCCCTGGCCTAGGAGCAAAGAGAAGAAGGAAAATAACACAGTCTACTTTGTGGGTTGTTTGTTCTAACATTAGGGAATTAGGGATATTAGAGAATTTAAGAAGTGAGACCTTGATCTTTCTTGCAGCTGGAATTATCTTTGTGCCTATCTTGAAACTTTGGCAGATTACTGTGGCTCACACATGCATGCAACAGTGAAATCCTTCCTAATTGTATCTGAGGTGTGCTCCCTGTCTAGGTGTCTGGGAGGTCCTGTTGTGTACTGGCCTCTTGCCCATGACTTATTATCATGACTGTTAGGTGTTTGAATTAAGTTAGGAGGCAGGACCTTCGGAAAGTGATAGGTCCCACAGATGGGGTTGTTATAAAGGGGCCAGTGCAGCCCCATTTCACCACTTAGCTCTCCCACCTTTCACCACTTAAGAACACAGCGTTCCTCCTGTCTGAAGGGTGCAGCGAGAAAGCTCTTACCAGACCTTGGACTTCCCCGTCTTCAGAACTGTAACAAAATTAATTTCCATTCTTTGCATAGTACCCAGCCTCAGGTGTTCTGCTAAAGCAGCACAGATGAACTAAGACAACTGGCAACAATCTACTATTGCTTGCAATTGGTATAGAAAGTAAGGGACAGTCTTGTGGGACTGAGCCTTCAGCTGGGGGGCATCTGAAGCTATCTCCAGGTCAATAGCATTAGAGTTGAGTTAAATTATGGGACATGAAGTTAGCGTGTACAGAAGAACTGCTAAGTATGTGGGGAAACCCTCACACATCTGGTATCAGAAGTGTTGAGTGGTGTGAGAGCAGAAAAAACACTGCTTTTCCTTTTACAGATTTCTTTATACATTCTAAATATGCATCAAATATATGTAATGCAGACATCTCTTCCAAGTATGTGGCTTACTTTTTTCACTATTTTAATGTTATCTTTGGATGGGCAGAAACTTTTTGTTTTGAGACAGGGTCTCATTATGTTGTTCAAGCTGGTCTTGAACTCAATATGAAGTCCAAATGGGCCTCAAACTAGTGGTGATCCTCCTGCCTCAGTCTCCTGGATTTTCATTTTCTTAAAGTTTATTTTATCAATCTATTTTCATTAGTCCCCTTTTAATTTTGCTGTTTTTGAGTGTTTTGAGTGGTAGTTTAAAACATCTTTGCCTACACCAAGATTATATAGGTATTCTGTTTTCTGAGAAATTTTATTTCTTTATGTTTTAGATTTATATCTATGATCTATCAAATTGATTTCTGTATTTGGTATGAGGTAAAAGTCAAGGTTTATTTTCCCACTTATCATGATTTTCTTTTCCCTCCTTAATAGTAGTGGTATCTTTTTTAAAAATAACATGACTTTATCTGTGTGGGTCTATTTCTAGATTCTCTATTCTGTCAATTAGTTTATTTGTCAATGTCATAGTGTCAATTATTATAGACTATATATTATAATAAGTCTTATGTTTGGTATCATAAATCCTACTACTTTTCTGTTCTTTAAGATTACCATGGATGTTTTGGGTTCTTTTGAATTTCCATATAAAGTATGGAATTGACTGATTAATTTACACAAAATGACCTATTTGAATTTTCACTGGGCTTGCTTTGACTGTATAGGTCAATTTAAGGAGACTTATATCTTAACATTTAGTTTCCTAAATATTACTCTGATCTCTTCATTTATTTTGCCTTCTTTCATTTGTCTTACCAAAGTTTTATAGATTTCTTATAGAAGTCTTAAACACTAGCCAGTTGTAGTGGTGCATGCCTGTAATCTCAGCAATTGGGAGGCTAAGGCAGGAGGATCGCTGTGAGTTTGAGACCAGCCTAGGCTACATAGTGAGTTCCAGGTCAGTCTCAAGTACATAGTGAGACCCTGTAAAAAAAAAAAAAAAAAAAAAGAGAGAGAGAAGTCTTAAACACTATATCATTACACTTACTACTAGAAATTTGGTGGGGTTTGTTGGTATTATACATGGTATTTAAAAATATCATTGTTAGCTGGGAGTAGTAGTACATGCCTATAATTCCAGCACTTGGGGGGCTGAGGTAGGAGGATCACCTCAAGTTCCAGGCCAATCTGGGTTATATGGTGAGTTCAAGGTCAAATTGAGAGGCTTTGTCTCAAAAAAATTAAATAAATTTAACTTTTAAATTTTGGGGTGGTGGTACATGCCTAGGTTAAGGCAGGAAGATCACAAGTTGGAGTTCAGCCTAGGTAACTTAGCAATTTAGAAAGTCTGTCTCAATTTTTTTTAAAAGTCTGGGGATATAATTCAGTGCAAAAAGATCCTGGGTTCAATCTCCAGTACCAAAATGATAATAATTAATATAATAATATAAAGAAAAAGAAAAAAAGAGGAAGGGGAAGAGGAAGCTTGTGTGTGTGTGTGTGTGTGTGTGTGTGTGTGGACAAAGAGGTGACAGACCAGGCGAGCTAGAGTCCCAACTCCTTGGACTCCACTTGCTATCTTTTTCGTTCCTGCCCACGCCTATCTGGTGGTAGTGGGCTTTATATTTGTGATCCTTTTCATTCATTTCCAAATTTTCAAACATTTAGGCTTGGAGGTAGTGGGGACCAATGGAAAGGAGGATGAAGAAGAGTAGCAGCAGAAGAGTAGGAGGAGGACATGGAGCTAAAGAAGAGGATTAACCTTGAGTTCAGGGACAGAGCCTGAGAGGAAGTGACAGTTTGTCCTTAATAATTGCCTGCGCACCATTGGGGAAATTGAAGGCTCAAATGACACTCTTAAATAACCAGAGTTTTTGGGTGTGGCTAATGTGGAATTAAATTTCCTGGCCAGCTTAAATAAACTTCAAAAGTTGGAACTTAGTGTACTTTCTGGAGGCTTGGTAGTTTTAGCAGATAAATATCCAGATCTTACCTACCTCAGTCTGAGTGGAAATAAAATAAAAGCTCTTGATACAGCATAAGAAATTTGAGAAGTCTTGATTTAACCATTTGATGGCAAACCTGGAAGCTTAGCAAGAAAGTATCTTCGAAGTGAGGCAGCAAATCACATACTTAGATGATGAATACGGTAAAGAAGATAGCAAAGCACCAGACTCAGAAGTGGGGGAAGGAGAGGGTGATGAAGCTGGTTCACCTGAAGGATATGAAGAGGAGGAAGACTGGGTAGAGGAGAATGAGGATGGGGGAGATGAAGCAGGCTCAGAGCTGGGAGAGGGCTAAGCAGCATAGTTAGTGAAAAAAGAAATTCTGGATGAAGAAAAAGATGATGATTCCGTGAAGAAGGAGAAGAGGAGGAGGAGGAAAGAAAGTCTTCAGGGGAAGTAGATGATAATGCGCTGGGATGGAAGCTGTAGGTATTGAGGGTGTGCTGGAGCGTGGAAGAGGGCACCGTACCACGCCTGGGCGTGCGTCTCTGTGTGATGTGCCTTGCTTGGGCTAAACTGGGTCTCAGGAGGCTGGGTTTGAGTTCATGTATAGCAGAAATACAATCCCGTGACACCAGACGGTTCTAGTCACAAGCTCTATGGACCATCGCAAGGAACAAGAGAGCAGTGAGGACAAAGGGTCCATCCGGTCAATATTGCTTCCTGGTGTTTTCCTTCTGTTCCTCCACAGTCCAGAGACTTGGCAACTTATCACCAGCCTTTGTAGGCTAAAAAACTCCTAGATCTGAAAAGAACTCACAAGGCTCTTAGGCTTTTATCATCCATATTCCACCCTCAATCAAAAGTCTATGCCAGTGGTCAGAAAGAGTTGCTACTAGAGCATAAAGCAGTATTTTGCTACCCAGCAGGCCTTTGCTACACCCAGGCCTAATGGTTGGAATCATCATGCAACTGTTGCCTAACCTTATTCATCCAATCTTTTTCTTTGTTTATTCTGTGCATTTTGAAGCTCTCTATTTACATATGCAAAAAATGTTTGGTTTAAGTTCCATCCCGGGTGCTTTCCATGGACAGGCCTGGCCTGTTAACATTAGTATAACATGTGTGACCTCTTAATATGTAACCTCCATTTTGCATCTACTCTGGTCATTTAAAAATCTGGGTGGCTAATCTCTACTGAAAAGGAATCCACCAGCTGCATATTTAGGTTCCAGATTCCAGGCACCAATTCCAGTGCATAGGTGGTTTACTCTCCATCCTTGTATCTCCAGGGAGTTTCCATTCTCTTCACTGACAGGTTCACAAGGACACATACCATATGCAGCAGGGCCTGCAGGAGCGAGTGCAAAACTGCAACAAGATCCGGGCAGGCCAAGGTTCCATATACCTTCTGAAGGCACAGCGCCGGCAGCTGGAGCAGAAGCTGAAGCAGGCAGAGGCCTGGTCGCTGCAGTTGGGAAAGTTTGCCCGCCTGGTCAACTACATGATTTGTCAGAACCTTGTTACAGTCTTGGAAGATGAAGTAACCTCTTTTGTGGCCAACATCCTTCAAGTGAGGTGGTGGGAAGGGGTAGGAGGCAATCAGGGGCTAGATGAGGGGTTACGTGTACTGATGTCTAACCCCACTACTTCTTCTGACCCTTCTTTCACAGGCTCAAAGGCAAAAACCCTTTCTCTCATCCCAGCTGGTCTGTGATGATCGTTGCCAGCTGTCTACCGTACCCAGTATTGAAAATATGATCCAGATTCTATCTGAGGGCCTACATTCCATTAAGTCTTCTGCCCTGAAGGTATGAATTCTGGATTAGACTGGAGATTGCCTTTTGGAATTCCCAGCTCCTATCCCTGTGTAGTCAGCTCTTTTTGCCTGTTAGATCTCTCATTGTTTCTCCATTTCTGTCCCTTCTCTATACCCTGGCATAAAGCTAATGCAGTCTACTGACCTGAAGACCTCGAGGGATTCCCTGTATCTTGAAGGTACTTAAGGAGACCTAGGCAAGGGGCCGGAAGGCTGGAAGGAAGGAAAGGGCTCATGTAGGTGTGAATGGCATGAGAATTAGTCAGGAGATCCAGGCTTTGGGTGTGGATGGAGCAGCTGTAACCTCAGCACTGTGCACGTGTGTTGGGTGGTAAGAGTCAGGATATGTTTTTGTTTACTAATGCATGTGCTTTTGTTCGTGTGTGTGAGGTAAGGGAATGTATAAGTGTGTGAGTACATTGTCCTTCCTGTGGTACATCCAAAATTTCACAAGGTTTTTCACCAATGCCATAGTTACATTTTATTTGCTGTTGAAATTGATCGTTATGTTGATTTGTACTGGTTGAAGAACTCTGCTCCCTTATTATTTGCTTTGTTTCATACAGCTCTTTTTTCATTTCTTATAGAGTACAGTAGTTCATTAGTATCATTGACCACTTGTTAACCAACAACAAGGAGACACATTTTCATATTTTCTTTATTTAGAGTGCTAATGCAGCCACAATAAAATCAGTAGGTGCATTCAGTGACATCTGAAATGTAGGTCCTTTCTAATTTCCCCATTCATATACTGTATTTTCATTAAATAATTTAAGATGAAGTTACTTTTAGGAGGTTAATGACAAGAGGAAAAAGTTTCATGAAAGGGGCCTGTTTTCATTGTTGTTGTTGTTGTTTTGTTTATAAATCACACTGGTTGGGTCACATTTTTCCAAAAATCAATTTAGGTTAATTGATAGAGACCATTAATACTTCATTTGCATAGTGCAGTGGAAAGGGAAAAGGCTCTGGAATCAGAGACATTAGTTTATTGATCTATAGAAGTGGAGATAAAATATCTGAGTCTGAAGATTAGTAAAGGTAATCTGTCTAGGACAGTGCTCAGCGGATAGTAGTACTTGCTACAATCATATCTTCTTACTACTTTTAGTATCATATTACAGACTCAGACAAATCAGACAATCACAGTATTTTCTTATAACATGCTATTGTGTCTTTAGTTATTTTTTAAAACCTCGAATTTTTATTCTAAATTTTAATGAACGTAAAAATATTCACCTGCAATTAGGTTTTCCCCTTCCACTTTGAATGTCATGATATTTCTTTCTTGCTTGCTTGCTTTTGCTTGTATCTTTCAAATTTTCAAATGGTTTAGAGGAAACAAGAGGTAGACAAAAAAACACAATGATGTGACAAATGTTAACTGTAAAATGTAAGTGGGTGGATAAGAGAGTTCATAGTACCATTCTTTAAACTTTTCTATAAAATTTCAAGAAAACAGTCTGCAAAATCAGATGTAGAAAATTAGATCAATGTGATGGAGAAATGAGAACCAAAATTCTGATTTAAGATTTTCCCTACATTCTTTAGCAAAAATACAATAATTTTCAGTAAGGTAAACATGCAGTAGATAAAACTCTGCTAGCAGTCTTTAAGAAAAATGCATCAAGGACTGGGGACTTGGCTCAGTGGTTCCACTGCCTGCCTCACAAGTGCAAGGTCCTGAATTTGATCCTCAGTACCAAAAAAAAAAAAAAAAAAAAAAAAAAAAAAAAAAAGCATCAAGCTGGACATTGTGGTGCATGCCTGTAATTCCAGCACTCCTGAGGCTAAGGCAGAAAGATTGTCCTGAGTTTGAGGCCAGCCTGAACTACACATAGTGAGTTCAAATCAATCTGAACTACATAATGAGGCCCTGTCTTAAAAACCCAAAAACCAAAACTATTTCCTTAACATTCTTACATTAACTGTAGTATGACAATAGCCTACTAAGATCAGGGTATCTTTTTTTTCTTTTCTGGTACCGGGGATTAAATTTGGGTCCTTGCACTTGCAAGGCAGGCAGCAGAACCACTGAGCTAAATCCCCAGCCCCAGTGTATCTTTTTGTGTTACACTGAAAAAAGACAAAAGATTACCTCGTTTTATTATAAAATTTTATTATAAAACCTTTTTTTACATATTTTGGTTGGGATGATGTTGAAATTTAGCTTAAAGATACAATGCTAAGAATGAAAACTACCAGGTATGGTGGCACAGGCCTGTAATACCAGCACTTGGGAGGCTGAGGCAGGAAGATCTCTGTAAGTTTGAGGCCTGCTGGGGCTATATAGTGAGTTCAAGGCCACCTGGACTACTATAGCAAAACAAATCAGCAGCAACAACAGCAAAAACAGAAGAAGAATGAAAGCTGTGATTACCGGTTTTAGGAGATTTTGTTTTGATATCTTGGGGGGGTGTTTGTTATGTTCTATTTTTGTTTCTGTTTTGCTGGATGGCTACACATGCTCAGGAAGGAAATATGAAAGGAAGCAGTGTGGCAATGAGAGGATTTTTAGAAGGAAGAGAAGGAGAGGGTTTTTGTTGTTTTGTCTTTTGTTCCTTGAGGAACTTTGAAGCGATCGTATTTATACTTGTATGAGCTTTACTCTGTGTGAAATATCTGAGCCACTCACTCAAGGAAACCTACAGTGAAGTTGTGTATTGCTTAGTCCCTTCCAAAGATGAACTGATAATTAAAAATGCAGTCAACTTATATGTATATATTTTAAATTGAAGCCCCGAGTCCCTCATAAAATATAAACAACTTGTGTCTTTGATTTAGTTGATACCCAGTGTTCTATGATAAGCAAATTTTATTTCACTCTTGCACTTGCAAAGCAGGCAATGAAGTTACTATTGATAGCAATGAAGTTATTATTGATTTCTCTCTTTCTTTTTGGTGTGTGTGTGTGTGTGTGTGACATTCCTTTAGCCATATCACATTAAAAATAGATTAGCTTTCCTTTCAATTGCTTGTAATCACACTTGAATCAACTTTATTTATTATTAGGTGACGTTATTACCTATCTCCTGGATCTTGGCACCTTGAAATCACTGTTCTTCAACATTGTCTTGTATTTTGGAGTTCACAGAATATAAAACATAACTAAATTCAAAGGCAATAAAGAATAAGCAGTACCAGCCTTCACAGAAATCCAAGCTAGAAAGTCAAGAAGAGAGCCCCTGTTCCTCAAATTATTTCTTATTATTTTTTGGTACCGGGGATTCGGGGATTGAACTCGGGTCTTTGCGCTTGCAAGGCAGGCCACCGAACCGCTGAGCTAAATCCCCAACCCTATTTCTTATTCTTTTACTTTCATTTCTCTCCATTGCATCTTTCCAATTCCTCTGATTTTTTTTTTTTTGCATTTTTTCCCCATTAAGTTTATTGGTACATTTAAAGCAAACGGTACAGTTACATTTATCACTGGGATCTTGTACCTTTACCTGACAGCTCTTGGTTCTTGCTTTTTCCCCTTACCCTTTGTCCACCCCTTCACCCCCTTCACCCTTCCCTATTTACAAAGACTTTGCTTCCATTTTTTCCTTTATTCACGTTTTCTTTTCCCTTATTTCCTTTCCCCTCCCCTTCTCACTTCTCCTTTATCCTCTGATGTTTAAGACCAGTTATATTAGCTTCCAGTAGACTCTTTTTCTTTTATGTTCTTTGAGACAGGGTCTTGCTCTGTAGTTTAGGCTGGCCTCAACTAGTGCCAATCCTCCTGCCTCAGCCTCCTGAGTGCTGGGATTATGGTTGTACACCACCATACTCTGCTGTTTTTCCATGTTGATAACAATTTGTACCTGTTGAAATTCAGTGTTGTTAAATATAAAAGTATTGGTTTGTACTTTTTTCCTTTGTACATTTTAAGCATATTATTTCTATTTTTCAGGCATTATGAATTGCTATAAAAATGACTAATGATAATATAATTTTAGTTCCTTTACAAAAATCACTTGATCTTTTTGCTTAATTTTTTTCTTTTCCTTTGAAATCCAGTAATTTTAATAGGATGTGCCTTGGTATTGAACATACTGGAGCAAGATATTCAGAAATTTTTTTTCTTTTCAAAATGTAGTTTTAAATCTTTTTTTTTTTTTACATTTCAGGATATTTTGATTTCTATCTTTTTTTTATAGAACAGCTTTATTGAGAGTTAATTCACCCACATAAAGTATACTCCCTAAGGTCGTTAGTGCGCTTACAGAGTTGTACATGCACCACCATAGACGATTTTAGAACATTTTCAGTGCTGCCCCCAAAAGAACTCCAAAACCTTTAGTAATCATTCCGTTTCTCTCTTTTCTGTTGCTCATGTTAGAAAAATTGGCTTTTCATAAATTTGAAAAGGTGACTTGGTTCAGAATATCTTTCTAATTTTTCAATTTCCTTATGGCGTTCTTTGTTTATTTTATTTTGTATTTGTATTAAAAATAAAAGATGGCAAGCCAGGTGTAGTGGCACATGCCTGTAATCCCAGCACTCGGGAGGCTGAGGCAGGAGGATCGCTGTGAGTTCGAGACAAGCCTGGGCTACATAGTGAATTCTAGATCAGTCTCAAATATGCAGTGAGACCCTGTCTCAAACAAAACAAAACAAAACAAAACAAAAAAAGATGGCTAGCTTTCTGAGATTTCCTGTTTCCATTTCTGTACTGTGCTTTTATCTTGGCCTTTTGTTTTTCTCTACTGCTTCCATCCTGCTCAGTTTTTATTCTACTCCCAGCACTTTCTCCTTAATGTTGCATTCTGTCCCAAATCCTGGCTTTGGTTTCAAGAGTTCATAGGGCATAGACTGCTTCAGCTCCTTTGAGCCTTACTTTACAGCTCCCAGGACAAGTAAAACCCCTTCCAGTTTTCCCTGCTGCTCTTGTTTTGTTTTGTTGTTGTTGTTGTTGTTGTTGTTTTTTGAGACAGGGTCTCACTATGTAGTTGAGACTGACCTGGAACTCACTATGTAGCCCAGGCTGGTCTTGAACTCGCAGCAATCCTCCTGCCTCAGCCTCCTGAGTGCTGGGATTACAAGCGTGCGCCACCACACCCGGCCTTCCCTGCTGCTCTTGGATTGGTCCTGATTCTCAGGAGATCCTTGCTGGCTGTTTGGGGTTTTCCTGTCTCCAGGTTTCCCTGGTGTCTCATTGTTCCCCCTGCTTCCTTTCCCACAACCGCTGATGGCAGAGGGAATGGGCTGTGGGCAGGTTTATCCCTACTTTCTCGCACCTGAGGATTTGTGAGGATCCCTTTCCCCATTTGTTAAAAGTGTTAACCGTTGTAAATGGTTTTACTATCTAATTGCTCTATCATTTTTATGTGTGGATTTGGTTGCCTCTGCCATCATCTTCTCAGATTTACCTTGGCCTAATTCTTGTTTTGTTTTTGAGTCAGGGTCTTGCTATGTAGTTCAGGCTGGCTTCAAATTCACTTCAGTCCTGCTGCCTCCGTCTCTCAAGTGCTGGGATTACAGGTGCACATCACCACTCCTGACCAACTTCCTACTCATATATGGAACAGAGACTGTAAGGTGTCGGACCCAAAGGCCAAAGCAGGGAAAATTTTTGAAGGGTATTGCAGCAATGCAGTGAGAGTATGGGATGAGGACAGTAGGTGATGGTAGATACAATTGGTGATAGAATTGGATTGTGAATATATTTTGAGTGTAGAGGTTGCAAGATTTTGTGATGGTTGTCAGGCATGGTGATGCACACCTGTTATCCTAGCACCTTGGAGGCTGAGGCAGGAGGATTTCTGCAAATTTGAGGCTACATAGTTCAAGACTACCTGAACTATGTGGTGAGAACCTATCTAAAAAAAGAAAAAAAAGATTTGTGATGGTCGGGTATGTTATGTGTGAGGAGAGTCAAAAGTGACTATAGAGATTTTGAGTAGAGAAACTAGAAGATGGGCTTCTCGCTTACTGAAGTTAGAAGACACAAGAGGAACCGTTTTCTATGGGGGAGAGAAATCAGAGCTCATCTTGCACCCTGTGAGGTTGGAGTGTGTGTAAGATATCCAAGCAGAGACGTGGAGCAGGCCGTTTGAATGGGATTGCAATGGAGAGAGAGAGACCTGGGGTAGGGATAAATTTGAAAGCAAAGAGATGGTTCTTAAAGCCCTAAACCTGGGAGCGATCTCAAGATAAGTATAGGTGTGGAAGAGTTCTAAAGTCTGAAACTCGGGAGCGTTATACCACTCAGGTTCGGATACAGTAGATATTATTTCTGAACATTCTGATCCTCACCTACTCTTTTTGACAGGATTTTGAGCAAACACTCATCTTGGCAATGACCTGGTTCCTACAAAGTTAAGGGAAGGCCAGGCTCAAGGGTGTTCTTACGGCACGTACTGAGGAGGCATGCTTAACATCCTTTCACACCTCCTCTTCCATTCTGCAGAGGCTGGAGTGTTACAGACTGCACTTTCCACACCCGCTGCCGCTGGGTGTCATATGGAATTTTGTGAGGCAGGCAGCTACAATTTTTTTTTTTTTTTTTTTTGTACTAGGGATCAAACTCAGGTCCTTGTGCTTGTGAGGCAGGCAGTGGCACCACTGAGCCAAATCCCCGGCCCTGTCATTGGAATTTTGAATTCACCAATTAGGCCTACATAAGATTTCAATGCCAAATTTAGGTGGCAAGAGGCACGTGCCATCCACTCTGCAGATGGCACACAGCAGAGACAGTTGTAGCTGGTGGCATGGCAATAACATCCCAATTTCCCAGTCAAACCAAAGCTCTAAATATTTAGCCTAAACTATTTCTGTTTTCTGATCTAATTGCTCTACAATCCATTTGATATGTTGTAATAATTCCTTTTCTATTTATACTGGCTAGGGTAAATTTTATTCTTTGCACCTGAATTTAAGCTTAAAAATTCCCTCCTGGTCCTGCGTTTGTGATATAGATGCATGTGAGAACTCATTCACAAGCAGGGAATGTGTGTATGCGGGTGTGATAGGTGTGCACACGCTCAGAGTAGAGAGCAAGGTTGTGTGTGGGCTCCGGAGGGCACTCATGATCAATCACGGCAGGTGCTCCACTAGCAGAAGATGAAGAGGACAACTCGAACTCAGAATTCCTGATGCCCAAGTTTCAAGGCCAGCCTAGCGATGCTGTTCGCATCTTCTGTGGCCCAAATGTAGGACTGGTGTGGCCCTGGAAGTCTCACCCAATTACTGATATCTTAGAGGTGCGTGGGTACCGGCTTCGGGGCCAGTACTTGCCACCCGATTATAGTCAGCTTCAGGAGGACTTGGACAACAACTTTCGAATCCAGCAGGCTCTGACTATACAACAGGCGCTTCTGGAGGTAAGAACAAAAGTCCCAGGAATGGGCTGCTCACACCGGTTTCTGTCTTAGCCACTGCCCCTGCTCTAAGTATGTTTACCTTTAGGGCATGATGCAGGAGGTGCAGGAATTCTGCAGGGAGCATCACTGGATAACAGGCATTTATGATTTCCTGCAAACCTGGGGCCCTCAGAAGCTGGAGGACATGAGAGGCTGTCCCATCCAGAGCTACATAACGGTGGTGAGCCAGCTGAATGCTTGGCAGGCCCTCATCTCCAGCATGCCTGTGGAGCTGCTGACCAAAGGCAAGCTGTTGCTGCTGAGCTGCCGTGATATACAGGCAGCGATGGGTGAGTGCTGCCTGTCTTCCCTCCTTTCCTCTTCCTTCCCTTCCTCTCTCCATGTCTTATCTGTATGGCCCAGCTTGGGCTTGGAATGTCCTCCAGGGACCTTTGGCGCAGGTCCCCCTAGACCTTTGGAGTCTCTGGGTCTCAGCCCCTTTCCATCTAAGCCGTGATCCCTAACAGACAGCTTCTCTGTTGGCCCTGCTCGTTCCCTCTGTCCCTTAGGAATCGTGCTGCTAATACTACTCAACACTTTCTGTTCTTATGGTGTAGAAATAGCTTAAATCAAATGTGACGAAGGAAAATCTTAGCGTGTTCCTGGGCTCCTGAGCTCAGTTTCTTCACAGAGACTTTTTGGAAATAAGGGTGCCCCCTCCCCCCATGTAGCAGAGTCAAATTTTATGCCATAATTTGCCTGTGTAAAAAACTTACTCTCTTTAACTGATCTCATCTTCGGTGACTAGGGATGGACAAACATACATAAATTTCCCAATTAAAGAAGCCTTTTTTTTTTCTTTCTTTTATTGCGTTTATTGGTACATTTTAGGTATACAGTACAGTTACATTCATTACTGGGATCTTGTACCTCTACATGACAGGTCTTGGTTCTCATTTTTTCCCCTTGTCCCTGCCCTCCCTTCACCCCCTCCTCCCCTCCCCATTCACAAACACTTTATTTCCATTGTTTCATTTTCTCATATTTTTTTCCCTTAAGTGGGAAGGGTAGGGGAAAGGTAATAAGGGAAGAAACGTTTTGGTTTTAAAGCAGCTTCTTTGGTCTGATTTGGTATACTTTGAGTATTTGATCAATTCAAATGCATATCACAGTTCTGGGTGGTCTTTACCCTCAAGTGCTGTCCATTCTCTTTCCCTCCCCAGGTGCCATCTGGCTCTGGGGAGGGCTGCCAGGCTGCTTGCTCTTCTCTGCATGGAGCACTGTATAACACCTCTTTGTCTGGTCTCGGCCCTGCAGGCCTTGATGCTTCCAGAGCTGCTGCATCCTGGTGTGGGTGGGCATGTTCTCTCACCCTTGTAGGATCCAGAGTGCCTGCCTTCCCTGACTTTGCCCCAGCTTGGCTCCTGCTGGCATGGAGAATCTCTCATCTGGTATCTGTCCTAGGCCGGCCTCTCTTGTAGTGTTTACTTCCGGGTCCCTCAGCACTGAACCTGCATCCAGGCCCACTGGCTGCCAACTCCGTGCTATCTTCTGTATCTCCTGCCATTTGGATTAGACTTATCCCTCTTTCAGCTACAGTATATCACCACACATCATTTCTAATCTGTAATGAGCATTTCATATTTGCACAAAGGCACCCTGAAAGGTAGTTTCCTCCTGAAGTTTCCTATAAAAAAAGTAGGAGTCAAGAGCAGCCTATTCTCAGGCTCCTCAGCCCAACTCAGTCTCTATTTTCTCTCAATACTTTCTACCCCTACTAGGTTAGTCTCGGAGAAATCTGGTTTATAATTTGGTATTGTTCCCTCTTTCTTCTTTGCCCCTTCCTAGGAGAAGGATGGCTCATGCCAAGTGTCTGTGCTTATTAACTGATCTTGAAGTGGCTCATGATGGCACAGATTAGGAAGCCAATGATTTGCTCTTCTAAGAAGTAGGGAAGAGGATCTGTTTCCTCGTGTAATCTCCAAGGCTGGCAATAACCAATAGTACCTTGCAGTATACTGTATCTAGTAGTAGACACCTGCATTTCCTGCAGACCTGGGTGCTATTGGACCCATGATCCCCTATGCCTGCTTTCTTTATAAAGGAAAGAGGCTTGGAACTGGGGCCTAGAAAGAATTTGCTGGCACCACCCAGTCTTTGCTCCTCAGGAGATTAAGGCACAAAGCTTGTCAACACATCCTCGTGAGCCACTGAAATTCCCTGCTTTTGTGCTGGGGGTTTACACTGGGAAGGCAGGAACAGGGAGGACCTGTGATCGGTCTTCCTTCATTTTGGGCCGGTTTTGCCCCACCATTTCTCAAGAAGTCTGTGTTCTCTTTCTACTTTGTTAACTTCTTGACCATTAGGCCAGGATCAACTGGACACTTCAAAGGAGCAGCTGGAGAGAAAGAAGCACTGAGTTTAGACTCCTGGCTACTTTTTACTGGCTTTGTGACTTGATGTCACTGTCTTTGCTTGAAACCTGGGCATGATAAACACTTGAGGTTATAGTAAAGAGGATTAAATTAGATAGTCACAATGCTCTTGGTGATACAGGAGATGAGATATGAAAATTTATATCTCCCAACCTGTTAGATTGATGTGCCGAGTTTGTGTACTCTAAAATTGAAGAATGCATTCTAGGAACAACAGAGTAGGAAAATATTTATTGATAGGATATCTCTTGAGAGGTAGGAGGGGTCCTGAATGGGTAGCTGAGGACCCCACTTTACAGAAGAGTTTTATAGTGCAAAACCCACATGGGTATAATGTGGGTTACAGCTGTGATTAACCAGTAAGGTTACAGGTTATAGTCACTTAGGTAATAGTGATCCAACGGGGAAACAACTCACATAACAAGTGTGTACTGGAAGAACAAAGATCTTTTCTAGGAAGTGATGGGACCAGAGGTCTTGGTCACCCACTGGGGTGGCTCCTTAAGTCTGGTGTTTGTCTTATAGGAAGTACTCAGGCCTGCTCCTTTAAACAGATGTGCCGCTGGCCACTATTGTGAAGTGTTTCGCCTTTGTCCTGACTCTCTTGAGGGCCAGCTTTATCTGACTGGCTGTAATATTTCTTTCTCACTTAATTGTCTGTAATATTAGCACTGACTGTGGCATGTGGTAGGCACTCAATAACTTTAAATTTCATCTTGTGCTGTCCTGTCTGCTTTCATCCTTCTTGCTGATCACATGTTATCTTATCCTCTGACTGTTGCCCTTCTTCAGGGGCTCTCTTGAACAGGGAGTGGCATACTTGCCCACCCTCGTAAGTTGACCTCACCAGAAACTTGGAGTCACCTTTTACTCCTCTCTCTTCTTAATTCCACTGTATCCAACCTGTCGCCAAATCCTTTCCATTCTTCTGCCTCCTGAATATCCCTCAAATCTGTTTTTCTTGCCCCAATCCCAAGGAGCAGATATTTATGAAGCCATCGCTCCTTTGTACCATATGGTGTCGCTGTTGCACTCCTAGTTGCCTCAGCCTGCCTGAGGCTGCTACAGCAAGTCCCAGATTTGTTCTTAAGTCCAACAAAGTGAATCTTATAAACCTTTGACACAAATATGCAAAGTAAAGCATTAAAAGAAACCAAACCTCCTCATCATCACTGGTTTTCCCCTTGCTTCTGGACACCCTGGGCTCTGACTGAGCCCCATACACTTACCACACGGTACAGTAGGCAACAGCAGCACAACTGTGACGATGTCCAGCAGATAGTGAGCTACTTCCACGATTCTTCACACCTTTATAATGCAAGGTCCGTTTGTGTCTCCGAAGGTTCGCAACTCAAATGTATGTGAGTCAGGAACTTACTGAAGTCCATATGACACCATTGCAGTGGCCTAGATACTGTCATGGGCCAGATGGACGTCTTGAAAAACTATAAGTTTATATCTTCATATTCTGTTCCAGCAGATTTTGTCAGCTTCACCCCTTGTTGGCTGAATCTCTTGATCAGTTTCTCCAAGGCTCTAATGGTGCTCTACCCAGTGATGCCTCACTTACCTCCCTTTGATCTCACTGTGCCACTTTCCAGTTGCAGAGATATTAATAGAAGATAGCCTGGCTTACTTTTCACTTAACATTTTATTTACTTATTTTAGTCTAAGGATTTTTTTAGACAGGGTCTCACTGTATAGTTCAGGCTGGCCTTAAATTCATTATGTGTCCCAAGCTTGTGGCAATCCTCCTGCCTCAGCCTCCCAAGTGCTGGGATTACATGTGTGTGCCACCATGCCCGGCTGTATTTATAACATTAATTATGCCAGAATGCCTGAGTTTGAATCCTTGCTCTATCATTGTATAATGCTAATCAACTTAACTTCTCAGCAACTCAGTTTGCTTATCTGTAAAATAAGAAAAATAGTAATATTTTACCTAAAGGGAGTTTTTTGAGGATAAAACAGGTTAATATAGGTAACGTGGATGGAATGATGCCAAATTCTATACTGAACTTGGGGGTATACCATATTTATTACATTTTGCTATTTTGTGTACATTTTAACATCTTTGACTTTAAGAAGTTCAGTTTTTATGGTTAATGACATGTCAGAGTTTAGATGGCATCATTTTTTCCTTTGTAGTGATATATAAAATGGTGATGCCTTTTAATATTAGTGATATCTTAGATTTGATGAAGTATCATATGGGTGTTTATCTTGCCTTCTGAGAAAATGCAGTTGTTCATATAACCTAGGGCAGCTTCTAAGATTATCTTCTAACCCCTTATCATCCTACGCTTCTTTCTCTTAATTATTGAAGACAAAAGACAGATTACACCCTTTTCTTAGTATGTCATCTATTACAGCAGAAACAGTAAGACCCCAAAAGGAAACCCTTGCTATTCATGACTATGTCATTTCCATGCCCTTGCATAGCTGTTTTCATCTACTGGGAGCATTAAAACCACTGCGCACATCCACCTCCAGTGACCTCTCCCAGGAAGCCTTTCCAAGCCTTCCGAGGCCCCTTTCCCTTCACTATGCCAGCTTGAGGGCCCCTGGCTCTCACAGAGGATTTATCACACCATTTGTAATTGTCCATCTGTTTATCTGCCTGTGCTATCGCACTGTGAGGAACTTTCTGTCTTTCCCGTTCACTTGCCTGCTGGTGCAGCACACCCCAGGGCACAGCAGCTGGCTGGACACGGAGCAGGGGTTCAGTAAGCATTCCAGGAGGGAGGGAATGAGTTCATCGTCTGGCTTCCCCTTCAGCCCACTCCCACTCTCGACCCACTGCACTCCCAGCACCCGCTTCTTTTCAGTGCATCCTCTAACACCTGCCTCTCTCGTCTCCAGAGTCCAAGCTGGACAGCGTGAGGAAGGATATTCTCACACAGGTGCAGAATGAATGCTGGAGCCGCAGCCAGCAACTGATGACAGAGCTCACAGGTTTCATACAGGTCTTCCAGACCATCAGTACCGACGTTCATGCCATTGCACAGTGCTCCCAGAAGGTGGGTTCTCCCCATTCATCCTTCCCAGTTTATCCAGGGCCCATCCTGCTCAAAGGCTCAGCACACTCTCTTCCGGTCTCCACTGAGCTCCCATAGGGTGCTCCTAAAATATTTTCATGTAAGTGATGTGCCTTCACTATTCTTGCTCTGTTCACATGGCTCTTGGTGAGGAGACCTTGGTGTAGGGAAAGAAACAGTGTTACTTTCAGATAGTGTGGTTTTGTTCTCTGTGGCAGTCAGATAAGGCAGTGTTGTGTTGTCATCAGAGTAATGGTCTGGGAGGTCAGAACTAGATTGCCTTCAGTGAGACCTGGGTCAGAGGGGGATCTGATCCCAGATTGCCCTGAGCTCAGTGAGTTAAAAAGCTGCAGCTGTGTCCAGAAAGTGGGCCTGGCCTTTGAGAATTGTTCTGTAGAGGTGTGTAGGACTGTGGTGGGTCTCATATTGTCGTCCTTTCAGTTGAACGAAGCCAGTGAACAGTACATGCAGCTGGAGGAGCGAGTGGAGTACATCCGGTCACTCCACGAATTCATTCGCAACTACTTTAACCTCTTTCGTGCTGAGAATGACGCACTGTATATTTCGGTGAGGGGGTGATTTAGGGAGTCACCCACCTCCTGGGCCGCTTCCTCTACCTCCGCATCTGCTTCACTGCCCTCTGTTTGTCCCCACAGCTTCTGGACATGTGGGAGGCATTTCAGTTTGAGAAAACCCAGGCCTCAGAGTTCCTGCTCAGCAAACGATATGCCATCGTGCCCAAGCTGCAACAGCTGATGGCAACAGCCTTGGCCGAGCTGGAAGGCCTGCTCAAGACGGCCCTGTCTGGTCCCTTCATGGATCCTACACAAGAGCAGAGGAGCACCGAGTGCAAGCTCCTCTCCCTGGAGCATCAGTTCAAGAACACAGCCGGCCACCTCAGCGAACTGCACCACACCTATGTCACCTTTACCGGTACTGAGGATCCCCACCCCTTCCACCATCACGCTGAGATAGAGGTTGGGGTCCTATGTCCTGTGTGATCCTAAGCAAACCTGAGGGATCACCTTTGTTGGTCTCTTTAAAATATTATTAAAATATATATTTTATATTTAAATTAGATCAAATGAAATTGTATTAAAATTTATTTATTTTGCAGTGCTGGGGATTGAACTCAGGTCCTTAGTGCTGAGCTACAGCCTGACCCTTTATTTTTTTATTTTTTAAATTTTAAGGCAGAGTCTCGCTAAGTTGCCCAACTAGGCTCCAAGTTGTGATACTCTTGTCTCTGCCTCCCAGAGTGCTGCATTAAGGTGTATTTTGTTGATCTCTTTAATAAGCAAATATTACAAGATGAAACCTTCATATATTTGATAATTCAGGTGTTGCATTTAGGGTGGGGATACAGGGGGCTTATAGCCTAAAAGGGAAGGCAAATAGATGAATATTTCATTAGAATGTGATGAGATTAGAGAGTAAAAATCGATGCAGGAGAAAGGTATGCCCTCATTGTAGAACTTGGTTTTTGTGCTTGGTGTAACCCTATACCAAGATACCAAGCAGCATGCCACAAAGAAGGACAGGTCTTGATGTTACAGGAGCCTGTACCTCTAGCCAGTGTACTTGAGAGAAAAGGCTACTGAGGTCCTTGGCGCTGCAGGAGGAGGCTGGGACAAGACTGCTGAGCTCCGCCCTTCCAATAGTGGTACAGTTAGGCTGGTTCCCTTCTACACATAAAGCACTTTGTAGGCTTGAGTTTCTTTTCTTAGATTCAGTCACTTATATCTCCTGGAAGGGCACATTGTTTTGAAGTCAAAGATTTTTTTTTCTTCAAACTTAGATATTGCATTATTGTCTTCTAATATTTAGCATTTTAGGCAAATGTGACGTTAAGTCCAACTTTTTTCTTTTGTATGGAATCTGTTCATTGATTATTTGATATATGCTCTTGTGTGTGCTCTGGGATCTGTCTAGAATTCTCATGTGTATTTTGGGTTCACTGGTCTGTTCTTCATTTTTTACTTTTCTTCATCATTCCTTTCCTCTGAATTCTAGAAACTACTTGTGAGCTTGTCTTATAAGCTTCCATTTTGTGTAGTATCTACTCTATGTTTTCCATTGTATTTTTAAAGCATACACACATTCTATGTGTATGTGTTCATGCTTATGCACACGTGTATATGCATGTCGGTGTATGTCTTCATGTTTATACACACACACACACACATTTCCTAGCTCTGTTTGCTGATATGGACAAGAAATAAAGACACACAGTGACAAGGAGCCATCTTTTTCTCAGGTTTTAGTTTCTAATCCCATTCTCCACTATAGCAAATCAGGGGTCCTCAGAGAAATCGATGATTCCTGGGCTGTGGCAGGTTAGGTACAAGATCAGCGTGGAGTATGATTTTATACCAGAAAATAAGGAAGTGTTAAATTCAAAAGGAAAAGGCGATGGAAGTTTGTCACAAGGATACATAGTGGATGCCAACTGGCCAAATCTGGGACAATTTCAGAACCAAAATACACTAATATAGTAATAAATTCTAAACTATTGAAAAATAAGAGATTTATTTATTTATAATAATAAAATGAATAGATAAATTTATAGGGAAGAAGTATAGACTCATTCTTACAATAGATTGCCAAGATCTGACCGGAGATCAAGATGTGGAGAGAGGGTTAGAGTGGGAAAATTATTTTGCAACCATCAGAGTAAATACTGGATCAGAAGGATTGTCAGTGGATGCCAATCTAGGACAAGCTCGGTGAAGAGCAAAATACTTGCACTATTTTAGACAGTCACCCTGGAGATTATTTATTAGTTTCAAAGGAAAAAACAAACAGCAGTTAGTGGAGAAATTGGGCAACAATTTGATCACAATGAATATCACCAATAAGGGACTTATGGACAATCATGTGCCTCCTGATGTGACACCTGGAGAAGAACAGACATCACCTATGCAGTAGTCTGCTGAGGGAGAATAACATCATGAAAAAAATCATGAAAACACACATGACTAGCTTTCTATTAACAAGAAAGAGGACAGAGGGCCTGTATAGTACTGTGGAAATGTCTACACTTTCAGATAAAGAAAAGCTGTAGAAATGTTCTAGATTAAAAGAAGCTAAAAAGACATGACAAAGAAGTGCAGCACTTGACCCTAGATTAGCTGCTGGACTTCAGGGGAAACAAGGCTATGAAGGATACTTATTTTTCCAAGTTTTATTTTTTATTAGTACGTTTGCAGTACATAAAGATCACATTCCTCGTGGGAAATTGGGACATGTACATGACACATCTTAATTCCTTTTTCATCCTTTCCCTCCCCACTATTCTCTTCCCCTCTTATCTTTTGGTCTCCCTCCCATTTGTGAAAGATTTACCTTTCTGCTTCCTATTATCTATCTTTTATTTGGTTCTTTATTTACATTTTGAGTTTCTCATATAAGAGAAAACATGTGATACTTAAGATTGTGTTTCTGATTTATTTTATTTAACATTATTGTCTCAAGATGAATCTATTTTCTTACAAATGACTCATTTATTCTTTATGGCAGGGTAGGACTCCACTGTGTGTAAATACCATGTTTTCTTTATCCATTCATCTGTTGATGGGCATATAGCCCACTTCCAAGATTTAGCTATTATGAATTGTGCTGCTATAAACATGGATATCCATATATCACTAAAATATGGTGCCTTTAACTTATTGGAATAATCCTAGAAGGGCAGTAACTGGGTTGAATAAAATTTCTATTTTTAATTTTTTGAAAAATATCTATTTTGATTTCCATAGTGGTTGCACTAGTTTACAGTCCCACCAACAAGGTAAAAATGTCCCTTCTTCCCCCACAGCCTCTCCAAAATTTGTCAATTATTTGATTTCTTGATAATAGCCATTCATTCTGGGGTAAGATGGAATCTCAATGCTGTTTTAATTTACATAATAGCCAGCCATGTTGAATATTTTTTATGTATTTATTGGAATGTGGACAGTAGAAAGTATTATAGCAATGTAATATAAGAATTTGTCATTTGCACCGTGATTATGTAAGAGAATCTTCCTGTCCTTAAGAAGCATGTCCTTGAATATTTTGAGGGCTACCTATTATTTATGCAATTTACCCTGAAATAATTAAGAAAAATTATCAGTTTGTACGTATAGTTATATGCCTATGCACACACGGACCACGCAAACAGAGCCAATAATGCAAATGGTTGTAATGTTATAATAAAAGGGAAATCTAGATAAAAAATATACAGTATTAGTAAGACAGTAGTCAGAGGTATTCATTTTTCTTTTTTTCTTGCAACTTTAAAGATTTTAAAATCACTTCCAGCTAAAATGTTTTGAAATACAATGAAAACTACTGAGAAGATTCCTCAGAAAAGAGCCATCAAAGAACATCGACTTTTTTTTCTCCTTTTTTACAGTATTGGGGTCAAATTGAGGGAACACTGAGCTACATCCCCAGCCCTTTTTATTTTATTTTGGCAGGGTCTTGCTAGATTGCCAAGGCTGGCCTTAAATGTTTGATCCTTCTTCCTCAGTCTTCTGAGTACACCTGGCTAGGGCATTTACTCCTAATCCTCAAGTTTGTCTTTACTTTTGGATGTGTTTGGAGATATCATGTCTTCCCTTTCCTATGGAGGAAGTTAATTGACCAGTCTGGTGCTGAGACAAGTCAAGATGCCGTCAAAGATTCTGTGGGTCGCTGGCTGTGGTGTTGCACACCTGTAATCCCTAGCCACTGAGGAGGCCAAAGCAGGCAGATTGCGAGTATGAAGGCAGCTTTGGCAACTTGGTGAAACCTTGTCTCAAAATAAGGGATAAAAAAGGCTGGGGGTGTAGCTCAGTGGTAGACTGTGCTAGAGTTCAATCCCTTGTACAGAGGAGGAGAGAGAGGGAGAGAGACTGAGAGATTGAGAGATTCAGTGGGAGTCTGGCCCAGACTTTTGAATTCAGACAGAGAGATTTAAAGAGTTCAGATTTTTTTGTGTCAAATTAGAGCTCTCTGATAAATGATTCTAAGTGTTTTAGTATTGAGATCTTCCTGATGAGTGAGGTTGACATGTCAAATGCATAATTTCCAGCAGTTGGGTGTAAGTCTCTTTTTTCCTACCCCTCAAGAGCTATGCAGGAATTCAAGTGAATGAGAATGACAATCCTTAGTAATAACCTTGACTGTGAGCTCATGTCTTTTAAGTACAGTAGAAATATCAGTCTATAATTATTATTAATTACAAATTACTTTTGACATTTATCTTACACTTGATTGTAAATAATTTAAGATGTAATGCAGTAGCTTGTGAAATTAAGTGAGGGCATAACTCTCAATAAAAAAAAAACATGAACACGATGAGGGCCTTCACCATTTACCCCTATGAGGGCCAAATCTTTTTCCATATTTGTGTCTCTGAAATTCTCTTTTTATCCCCCTGAAATTCTCTTGGGCTGAGAATTCATTCACTGATTCATTCATTCAACACATAGTTGTCAAGTGCCTGCTATGTACAAGGCTTGAGGTACATCGCTGAGCACATGACAAACCTCCTCCCCTAGAAGACTCAGTGTCTAGCTAGGGAGAAAAGCAATAAATACTAAAAATCAAACTAAGTTATGTAGTACAGTATATTGGAAAGTGTCTAGAGAAAAAAAAAAATAGACCAGGCTACAGAGGGGTTAAGAATGCAGGAAAGGTCTATGACAATTTTTATTTCTATTTATTTATTTATTTATTTTTGGTACCATAAATGGAACTTGGGGCCTCTTGCTTGCCAGGCAGGTGTTATACCCTGAGCTGCATCCCTAGCCCTAACAATTTTTTTTTTCCTTTGGTACTGGGGATCGAACTCCGGGCCTTGTGCTTGCGAGGCAGGCAGCGGAACCACTGAGCTAAATCCCCGGCCCTCTGGCCCTAACAATTTTTAATGTGATCGTCTGCACAGGCCATAGTAAGAAGGTACTGTTTGCATAAGGGCTTGGAGTTGGTGAAGGCTTGAATCATGCAGTTCTCTGAGGAAAGAGTGTTTCAGAAAGAATGAACTGCAAGTCACAGGCCCTTAGCAGGAGGGAGCATCCTAACGTAGTACCTGAGGAACAGTAGAGTCCGGGGGCTCCCGTGAGTGAGATGGAGATTAACAGAAAGGGAGCCCTCCCATTCCACTGCCGTCATGTTCTCCCACACATTCTTCCTTTGGAAAGTTCCTGTTGAGCTGAATAGTTTACACATACCCACCCCTGGAATCTCTCTTCTGACATTATAGGCTCTTGGTTGACCATTCCCTAAGTAGCCCAGGTCTTAGCCAGCCCTATCCTGCAGGAGATGAGAGTCCTGTGCCCTTGCCAGTCTGCGGGACCCATCCCATCGTGCTGCAGCAACACATCTGGCACCTGTATCGAGTCATCTCTGAAACTTTCAGCGAGTGGAAGTGCATAGCTTTTGTCAAGGTACTCACTCTCCTCCTTGGAGACCCTTCCTGGGAGAAGGATTGAGGAGAATGTGCGGGGGGGTCCTCAAACTGACAGTGAGCCCTTCCCCTGCAGTTCAGTCTGTCTATGGCCAAGGAGAAGACAGATGGCTGGCTGACAGACGTGGCTCGGCTGAGCACAGCTCTGGGGGTCCACAGCCCAGTGCTGCAGCACTGCATGCACGTGCTGCAAGAGTTTCGAAGCTACCTGCCCTTACTCACCAAGCTGGGCAGCTTCCAGAGGCAAAACCTTAATTATCAGTCCCTCCTAAGAGGTGAGTTTGGTTAAAGCCAGAGGGGAGGGGGGAAGGGTGAATAAGGGTTTAGAACAACTCAGCAACTTAGTTCCCTGCTGTTCCCACTGGAAATGCCTTTCCTCCCTAGGTTGCTCCCTACACTCTCACATACCATGACCACCATCACTCACCCCACCCCCAAGGGGAAAAATAAATTTTATTGTACTTTATTACCATGAAGAATCCTCTCTGTGGGTGGGGCCTAGGTTCAGGCTGGGGTCTTTGCCCTTGGTCCCTAGTTGTGCTGTGAGATCTGCAGTCCAGGATCTGAACTGGGTTGGGCTAGGTTCTGGGTCATGAATCTAGGGTCTGGGCTTAGGTTGGAACTGAGTTCTTGGACATGAACTAGACTGTGCCACATTCTGGGTGTTGTTCTGACTTGTCTCTTCTACCTTCAGCCTTAGGGCTAGGCAATCTCCAAAGTATGGAATTCTTGACACTGGGTCAGCTGCTCTCTTGTCCATTGCTGGAGTTTGCAGATCGAATCAACCAGGTGGGGCCTACAGGGGACAGGAAGGGAGATGGTCCAGGCCCAGGACCTGTCATAGAGGCAGTCAAGGCCAAGCAGTCCCTTGAGATACAGGGCCAGTGAATGTTGGCATTTGGGTGAGTGGGAGCTGGGGTTGAGATTTCTGACCTCCCTGGAGAGTAGGAATGGTCTCCTTAAATGTTCAGATGAAGACCTGATGGGTGACTAATAACTCCCCTGGGAGAAGGAAATACTTGTCATGCTCAACGTGTTAGGCACACAGAATGGCAGACGTCTCCCAACATTTACTCCATCTCAAAAGAGCATGAGCTGCCATGCCCACAGGAGCCTTCTGGAAAGGTGGGTTTTCGCTCTGGGCCAAAGTAGTTAGATGCTCTTGACAGCCTATCTTTGAAGCCTTATGGTCCCGCTCTCCCCGAGCCATTAGCCAGTTCTGGCTTCTGAGACCCAGCTGTTCTAGGTCTGGCAGTGTGACAATGAACGAATTCGTGCCCAAGAACGCCTACAACAACTGCAGCAGGAATGGGAAGTACGCCAGCTGCGCCTGGTCACCTTTATCCTGCATGTTCCTTACGAGTCCTCGCCCTCCGAGCACTCCAAGAGGCAGTCAGCCTGCAGCCCCCTGTGGGAAGTAGTGGGGAAGGATAGTGGCACCTTCATTCTCTCAGGTAAGACTCAGCCCTCATGAACCTGTGACTGCCTCCTGCTGGGAACCATGTTCAACTGTCACATCCACCAATCCCTGCCAGATCTGTCTTTAGCCAGGGCCCCATCCTTACTGAAGGGCCTGAAGCATCATTCTACTCTAAGACTGTGTCTTCCGTATAGCTCCCAAACAGTCTCTGTGGGAGACTGCCACACACATCCTCCTCTTGCTCAATGCTGGGCTCCCTCAGGGAAGGTCCTCTCTTTCTTGGTGTACTCAGAAATTCTTCTGGTTATTTATCTCCATGCTTCAGTACTCTGCCTCTAGATTGCATCTGATGTCTGATTCACCACCACTTATTCATACTTTTTCTTTCCCTCATAAAACTGACCATAAGACACACACAGGAAACCCAGAGATCATAGATAGCAGCCCTGACTTTTAGAAACGCCCAATATGTGAGAGACAGATGATAGCACCCAGATGAGTGTGTGATGTTGCACCTTACTGGGGGCAGTACAGTCTCAGAAAGGGGACTCATTCCAAAAACCAGGGAGAAATCAGGAAATCTCTGCTTGGGTGGAAGCCTCATGCTGACTTTTGAAGGAGCAGGAGTTTGCCAAACTTGCAAGGTGGGAAGAGCATGCCAGAGAGAAAATAGCACATGTATAAACATCCAAAATGACATTGTTGGGGAATTGCCAGTAGAGGAGAAATTCTCCAGCATGATCAGAACCTAATGGTGAATGTAAACAGTTAAATTCAGTTAATCATAAAATATTATGTATCAAAAATAAGTAAAATATGATATGTATGACCAGATTTTTATTTTGCTAAATATATATGTGTATTTCTTTGCATTTACTTACAAACTTTTATTCTAAGGACAAGAGATTTTCTTTGACTTGGAGTCCACTGATTGTTCTCACTACCTTTCTTGAATTATGGACTGTTGACTATTTTTATTTTTACTTATGTGAAGTTGGCTAGCATTGTGAAGACACAAAGTAACCTGAGTGCAGAACATTTCTAGACTTTTATTATAATTTTGCAATTTTAGGAAGCAAGAGAACAAGTTCGAGTCCCACTGAGATCTTATCTTAGAAGAAAGCATTGTAAAAGCTAGGGAATTAGCTCAGTAGTTGAGCAACCCTGGGTTCAATCCCCTGTATCACACACACACACACACACACACACACATTGAATTGCTTATACTAAATATGTTTTTATCAACTCACCTTTACTGAAGCTTTCTATAGTTTCCATAGAAACAGCAGCTCTTTTCCCACCCATATCAGTTAATAAAATATTAGATTAAATTCTATAATTAAAAATGTGATGGATGTAATGTGCATAAAATGTTTACAAATGGTCTGTCTCTTCGTGAGCATACAGTTTAACTAGTGGGAGCAAAAATGTTTGGCTCATCTACAGAATAGCTTGATATTACTAAGTTTCAGTTGAGTTATGGCCATTAGTCAGTATATTTTATGATAAGAATGGGAACATCCACTAAAAGAGCTTGTAACTCACTGGTGCTGGAGCCCAAAGAGTTCTGGGAGAGGAAATGATGCAGAGGAAGCTGAAAAGGTCAGATCATGCAAATTGTTGGGAGCAACATTAATTATTTACTCAAGAATATGAAAACAATGGAGTGTTTTTGGTGGGGAAGTTACATGGTCAAACTTCAGTTTAATATCATCCTGGTTTTATTTATTTATTTATTTATCTATTTATTTATTTATTTTTGAGACAGGGTTGCACGATGTAGTTGAGACTGACCTGGAACTCACTGTGTAGCCCAGTCTGGTCTCGAACTCACAGCGATCCTCCTGCTTCAGCCTCCTAAATGCTGGGATTATAGGTGTGCACACCACACCCTTCCATTGTTTTTTATTATTATTTTTTATTTATTATTTATTTTTTATTTACATATACATAATAATCACATTCATCATAAGGAATTTGCACCTGTACATTATATATCTTGACTCTTCTTTTTTTCCCCATTCCCCTCTCCTCCATTCAAACTTTTCTCCCCATTTTCAAAAGTTTTAGTTTCCATTTTTTTCCTTCTATTCTCTTCCTCCCCCCTTTTCCCTGCTTTCCCTCCTCCCTTGCGCCTCCCTTATTCCCTTTCCCATTTGAACATTTTCTTCCTACTCTCAAAATATCTATCATCCATTTGAGTCCTTATTTACCCTTTTGGCTTCTCACGAGGGAAACAATGTGATATTTAAATATATATTACTCTGATTTTAATATAGAAAATGAATTAAAGCAAAGGGTGGAAATAGCAAGATCAGTTAATCCCAGTGAAAAGCAATTGTGGCCTAGATGAGGACATTAGCAATGGAAAAGAGAAAAGTGGATGGACTTGAACTATATATGAGTCAAACTGGGCAGGATTTGTAACTGTCCCATCTTCTTCATGAAGGAGAATTATGTCCTTTCAGCTTTAATATAGATGGTTCTTAACTCTCTATCCTTACCGCCTCTCATGACCAGTATTTGGTTAAGGGTAACAAATGGTTAACTGACAAATGGTGTCAATTTGTGTCTCACTTATTAAGGATTCATAAGTTTTGGTGTTGACTAATAGATACAAAGGCTGGCTGGGTTTTTGCAGTTGACATTTGTATCAACACTCAAAAAATATCACCTTTCCACTTTTGACCTGAGCACATTTTATACTGATCCTTTTGCCCATTTCTGACCCTGAGTCCATGCTTTTTTGTATTACCTTTAGATTTCTCCACTATTAAAAATAATCAATGAAATTCATAGTGTAGGATACAGGCTCTGGATAGTCTGAACCTTGAGCTGTCTCTGAGCATAACTTTAGCCACCTGGGTCCTCTTGTCCTTACTTGAGCTCATAGACCTTCCCCTAGTTTTGATCCCTCCTAGCTTTCCCTTCTGTCTCTAAGCTGGCATTTGCATCAAGCACCTGTATGGTTGTGACTTCTCTCTGAAGTTTCTCTCTTCTCTCTGCATCAGGCTTCCTTTTCCCATCAACTTGGGGCATGTTGACCAAGGGCCACATTTTGTGGTGGTGATACCATGAAGTTAGTGATTTTATCCACACAAGTGAGTCCAAGATGATGGAGCTTCCATGCATTTAACTATTATGCCAGGAAGACAGGGTTAAGGATACCTATTAATCATTAATTCTCCCCTTTGGGTTCTTAACAAAGCTAGAGTAAGAAAATATATGAAAAAAGTACAATATTTGAACTATTAATCAAAAATTGTATGTTGTTTATATACTGTGATGACACACACAGTATGGATCCAAGTCAAGAGAGATTTCATGTTACCTTTTTATAACCTTCCCAGAATCTGTTGAAACCCTGAGGTTTGTGTGGGTATGCAGAGGAAACTTGAAATATACTTACTCAGGTAGCTGCATGGATTGTGGCCTGCCTCACGTGTTTTAGAGCACAAGAGATGGGCCTTTTCACCAATGGGGATATGGAAAAAGCACACACATAAAATGAATGGACAGCGGTGCTAAAATATTACTCCAATATTGTTCTTTCTAGAAAGTAAGAATTCTTCCACTCTAAGAACTGGATACTGAGTATCTTCTTCCCAACATGAGTACTGTATTGGAGAGTTCTACATCTGTCTACATTAACCTTCCCTCTCAATTCTTCTTCCATTTTCACCTTAGTGTTCCCAACTTAGTTCCAGCTCCAGTCTTACATGGAATGATGGAATAACATTTTAAGCTGTACCACAGAGCCAAGTGCTAAGACATGAAAGAAAAGTTTGGTCCCAGCTTTTCTACCAGGATCCCTTTTGTCCAAGAATGTGTATCTTTCTATAAAAATATTATATAGAGACATGGAGCCACTGAGCCCTCCTCCCAGGATGAAGGTTCTAGTTCATCAAAGAACTTCCATGGAACTATATGGATAGCGATAGTATGTAGCTGGGAAACCAGCTGGTCTATCCCACAGTTCCTGGAAGAAGTTTCTTTTCTCCCGGTTTTGAGACCCTAGTGTTCTACTAGTTCTACCAGACTGGTCAATAAAATCCTTGAATTAAGAAAGGGTTTCAAGGGCTCTGTAACTACCTCTCTCAGAAGGGCATTATAGTCTGCTTTTTTCTGCCCAGAACTGCCCTTGGAATGAGGCCAGCTCAGCTCAGCTGTGACTGCCAGTTCAACTTTTTCCTCCTTAGACTATAGCAACTTACAAGATTCCATCCAGAAAAGTCTCCAGGCATTGTTCAAGGTCCTAGCCATCCAAAAGTCAGGAGACTTACACAAAACAGCTTTGGAGTGGGTGACCACCATGCAAGGCCTGGGTGAGTACAGGCTTCCAAATGTATTTGAGGGTGGGACCTGAGGTTGAATAGCTCAGAGTAATGGGGGTGAGGGGTGGGGTTGGATGGGAGAAGATCCAAGGACAGAGTTAGAACTTCATTCAGGAGTACTTCTTGGCATGAGGTTACCTGGTCTTTATGTGCAGTGAAAGTTTTATTTCCCATAACAAGGTCCCTAGGGCTTGCTGAGTACAGTAACTAGGCTGGACCAGTTAGGTATCCAGAAGACCAGGAGCAGGCTGCATTTCTTTCAGAAGTTAGAAACTAGTATCTCCCTCTAGTGTTCCTCTGGCTGTTCACACAGGTGCCCTGCTGGAGGTGTGGATGGCTTTCCAGCAGAAATGGATTTTTCTGAATAAAGTTCTGCATGAGATGAAGATCCAGTTTCCTAGTGCTGAGCTGGTAGGGAAGGGAGTGAAGCAGGGTGGGCAAGAACTCCTGAATAGTGGGGTGCAGGGTGGGAGGGAGAGCTGCCACTTCATATTTGCCTTCACTTTGACTCTTTCCACAGTACTCTCGTTTCAAGGCTATGGATGATCAGTATCGGATGCTAATGCACATCTCTGTAGCTGACCCCATGGTTCTGTCACTTATAGTGCCCAATGCCAAGAGAAGACCTCACTTTCAAGGTCAGCAGCTACAACAGCTGCTGCAAGCAGGATCGGTGGAGCTGGAGGGCATTATCATGGCTCTGGAGACTGTGCTGTACGGGGTGTGTGCCCGCTTCCCCCGCCTCTTCTTCCTCAGTGACAGTGAGCTGGTGGCCCTGCTGGCTGCCCCTCTAGAGCCTTGTGAGGCCCAGCTATGGGCACGACGCTGCTTTTCTCCTGTGCATTCTATAAGCTTCCAGCCAAGCCCAACTAATGAGAAAAACGTGGATGACCGAGAGTCAAACCCAAGCAGACAGACTCAGGTGGAGGCACTTGCTGTGCTAGGGGAATATGGGGAGGAGGTGAAGCTGCAGGGGCCCCTTCTTTTGCATCCAGATCTCCCTAAGTGGTTGGCCTCTCTGGAGAACCATCTGCGCTTGACACTCGTGTACATGCTGCAGGACTGTGTGGCAGCTCGTCTTGCAGTGAGACCTTCCGTAGGTGAGACCTTTAAGAAGTTGCCTCAGCAAAGCCAGTTGCCCCTACAACTAAATGTCCAGCACTGGCTAGATTTAGTCCAAGCCTTCCCTTGGCAATGTGTAATGGTGGCAGAGGAGGTAGTGTGGCGGGTTGAGATGGAGGAGGCTCTGCTTGAGACGGGGACCCTGGCCATGACCCCCAGGCATATACACAAGCTCGAGGTACTGGTACAATTTATCCGAGCCCAGAGGAGCTCCCAAGGAGGGCAGCCCCTACTCTCTGTCCGCCAGGCCAGCCTTCTCAGTGCTCTGCTGGTTATGGCAGTGACTCACCGGGATATAGCACAGCTGCTGGAGAAGCACCAGGTCAGTGATCTGACAGACTTCCACTGGGCTCGCCAACTTAAGTATCACCTGGGTTCACCTCACTTGATCCCCCCAACCCCACTGCAGAGCCTTAAGACTGCTGTACCCACTGAACCTTCCCAGCCACCAGCTGCCTGCTGGATAGATGTGCTGGGTAGGTCCTTCCTATATAATTATGAGTACTTGGGTCCCAGACTGGGGCCTCTACCCAGCCTGCTGCTTGAGCGTCCAGTGCTAATTCTGTTATTGGCCCTGGAGGAGGTAGCCTGTGGGACCCTTGTAGGCCCTGATGGTGTGGGTAAGACAAATATGGTGAACAGTCTGGCACGGGCTCTGGGGCACCAACTGGTGATGATGCCATGCTTGCCTCAGATAGAGGCCCGATGCCTGAGCAACTACTTGCTTGGTGCCCTGCAGGGTGGTGCCTGGTTGTTGTTGGTAGGAGTTCACCACCTACCTCCTGGCTTACTCTCTGCCCTAGGCCAGCGCTTGGCTGAACTGCAGTATCTCTATGCCCCACTGTACCAGGAGGCATCCCAAAGCATCAGTACCATAGACCCCACCAAACCCCAGATCCTTGGCAGTGGCTTATTTGAGAAACATCATGTGTCTGTACGTCTTGGCTATGGCTGTCTCCTGACACTGCATGCCCTGAGCCCTGCTGTGCCTGCCAACCTGCATCTGCTACTGCGGCCTGTGGCATTGGCACTGCCTGACCTACAGCAAGTGGCAGAGCTGACTCTTCTTGGTGCAGGGGTACGCGATGCCTCTAGCATGGCTACTCGCCTGTCTAAATTCTTCTCCCTAGAGCGTGAGCTGGTATCTGGCCCCCTACCCTGCCGCTTGCCACTGCTCAAGCAGATACTGGAAGAGACAATACAGACACTAAGTGTGACCAAAGAAGAACTCAAGTCCCATGATTCTAGCAGTCTAGCTGCCACTGAGGAGGCGGCCTTACTACGCGCTCTGCTGCACTCACCGCTGTTCAACAGCCTTGATGGGCTCCGCCTGCACAACCTCCGAGAGCTGCTCTGTGGAATTTTTCCTAGTGCTAGCCAAGTGCTGGCGGAGCCTATAACCCGTAGGCTGATGAAATCCCTGATGGTAGAGGAACTGCGACAGGGAGATCTGTACCCAAGTCCCAACCTTATAGGGTCCGTGGAGCAGCTCAGTGAGGCCCTCAGCCGGGCCTCAGGCATTCTGCTCCTGGGTCCTGCAGGGAGTGGTAAAACTACTTGTTGGAACAGCTTATTTAAGATCCAGAATCGGTTGGCAGCCATGGAGGAAACCTTAACCCAGAGATACCAGGCTGTGGAAATTACTCACATGTACCCCAGTGTGCTTAGCTCCCAGGAATTCCTGGGATGGCTAGAGGGCCCCTACTGGCACTGGGGTATCTTTCCTAGGCTACTTCATGCAGCCCCTCATTGTAGCAGCACGGGCCCAAAGGAGCAGACTGAGGAACCGACGGGGATCCAGCATTGGGTAGTATGTGATGGGGCAGCTAGTGCTGCTTGGCTGGACTCCATCACTTGCCTTCTGAGTGACCCGCCTCAAATTAGCCTCCCCAATGGACAACAGATAGCACGACCCCCAGATACTTTTTTTTTGATGGAGGTGGCAGATGCAACAGGTATATCTCCTACATTGGTGGGCTGTTGTGCCCTAGTCTGGTGTGGTGGGGAACAGACTTGGCAGAGTATGTTTAGCATCCTGATGGCAGCCCTGCCTCGTGAGTACAACCTGCAGCCCCAGACAGTTGCTGAGCTCAACCACCTGGCGGATGGTCTGGTGCCCGCAACGTTTCGATTCCTCACTCGCAAGGGTGCTAGTTCTCTGCTGCAGGTACACGGGCATCAGACCGTTTGCCCAGGAGTGGCCGAAGTCACCAGCCTGGCCCGCATCTTGCGTGGTCTGCTTGACCCCCATCTGAGCCTAGATGAGGAGGAGAAGGCACGTGATACAGGTGGGAGGATGGAAGGGCTGGTTTGAAAGAGATGGGGTTTTGAGGGCTGCTGGTATATAGTTGGGGTTCTTCAGTGGAGCTGGGCCAGGGGACCAAAAGGAAGAAATGATATGATCAACCTCTGCTCTTCTCCCCACCTCCTGCTTTTTCTGCTGGGGTTTCTATGATGGCTTCATTGACCACTGCAGAGGACTTCAGCTTCACGTCTTCAAAAACCAGCTGTCTGAACGGGTCCAAAGTTGACAGCCATGGTGTGCCAGTTAAGGACAGGGAGCATTTGCTTGCTATCAGCAGCTTTCTATTTGCCCTGATTTGGGGCTTTGGAGCCTACCTTCCCTCCAGGTACCTATGAAGATGGGAGGGTGGAAAGACATAGGTCTGATATGGAATGGCCCACGGGAGTTAAAACTTGTGTGATATCACTGTGAGGCTGTGGTGGGAAGTATGGGTGTCATAGATGGAACTGTTCTAACTGTCTGACCCTTTTGCCTATGTGTCCCCTGTGCAGCTTTTGGCCCTTTTTTGATACCTTCATAAGGAGATCTATCAGTGGCCTCTCCAACTATCCTGAGCTACCACCCACAGCTTTGGTATTTGATCTATATGTGAACCCTGAAGATGGGACGCTGGTCCCCTTCACTGGACAATATCTGAGCAGCCGCATCAAGGGAACTCTGGGTCCCTTCTACCCTTCTATTCAGGTGTGAGGAGAGGGGGTCAGCAGCTGGGGTTGGGACTTAAGGGACTATGCTAGGAGCATGTTTGAGGCCCAACTGAGGCCCACGTGGTCCCATATTTTTTTTTTTGATGTTTTCACCATCGTTAGAATACTTGGAGTGTTCTCCAAGTACAGCTTTAAGACAAGTCTCTTAGACCTATATTTTCAGCTAGACCACATAAGCCCTGCTCCTGTCCTACAGACCGAACGGCTGTTGTATGTGGTAGACCTGCTTTTGTTGAGGAGACAGCCAGTGCTGCTGGCTGGAGAAGAAGCAACAGGGAAGTCAGCCTTTGTGGAGGTGCTAGTGGAGCCCAATCATCCTTACATATACAGCCCTGTGCACCCTGCCTTCAGTCCTACCCACCTTCGCCTCCTGCTGAGCAGAGGAGTCCAGGACCAAGCACAAGCCAGTGCATGGTCTGCACGTCATCAGGAGTCTAAAGGCTCCCTCCTCTTCCTGCTGGAGGACCTGCACTTGGCTTCTTCTGGTGAGGAGGTGGGAGAAGGGGAGGAAGGAACTACTGCCATCTCATGAGACTATAAAATCCCCAGTAATATACTGATTCAGATATATGTCTACAAATCAAACTTCAGTGTTTTATTCTTAACATTCTCTCATTCTATACATATTCCCCTGAGCAATCTTATTCACTCATGGCCTCATCCTCCATCTCTTTGCTTGGAATGATAAATTTCTTTCTCCGTCCCAGACTTCTCTTTTAAGCACAGGCCTGTTTATACATCTGTCTACTACTCTACATCTCTACCTTGTTGTACCATTGGCAACTCAGACCTAACCCTACACACACACACACACACACACAAACACACACACACACACACACCCCTGCTCTGTGTGTCCTCTTAGTAACTGGTACCATTATCCAACCTGTCACTGAATCCAGAACTCTCCTCTTTCACCAAGACCTAGTCACCATTGTCTTTCAATTCTGCCTAAATATCTCTTCAGTCTTTCTACTATACTTATTTCATGGTTCAGACAAGCATTACCTGAAACTTTGTCAAATGCTCTTGCAAAGCTCTTCATGATGAGGGTTTCTCCTCTATCCTCTTACACTCTGTGCCCTCACTAGATTCAAGAAGTCAGTCTTCCTGTAGCCTCTGGAATTGCTGGCCTCTGCCTTTTCTATCTTGTTTATCTGGCTAAATCCTAGTTATTATTTCTAAATCATCCAAGATAGTAGCACCTCCAGTAACCCTGATCCTCCAAGCTAGGCTGATATTTATCCTACATTGTGTGCAATGTACATCTGTAACAATGATATATTTTGTGACTGTAGGCTGCTTATCTATCCCATTAGCCACATTCTCAGCTTCATGAGAACAGAGATTTATCTCATTCGCTTTGATAGACCTGGCAGGAAGTAAGTGCTCAGTGAGAGTTTGTAGAAGAAAACACGGCATAACCAAGGAAAGGAGAGAAACTGTGAATGACAGTTTAGAATGCTGAAGTTTAAATTCTAAAGTGTTACACCTCCAGATAATAACCAATTTTAAACACAGTCATGGGAATAAGTAGAAAAGTATAAGTTGTTGGACTCAAGAAAATCAGTGAGTTAAAGCACTGGGATGGGTTGTCCAATCAATCACTGTCCTTTATGGGATATAGATACTAGAGTTAGATGTATTGAAACCTAAAAAATAATAGAAAGTACAATTTATTGAGGACCACGTGTTACATGCTTTATGTCTCTTTAGAGTTTATAAAAACTTAGTAAGATGGATATTTTAATGATTATTTTAAAGATGTAGAAACTGAGACAGAAAGCTTACAGTTTTCCCAGGGTACCCTAGCTATTAAGTGTCAAAATGAAGATTAAAATGCAAACCCACTTGGTTCCACAGCCTACATTTCTTTCCAACTATGTTATCTGACCCTTGCAATGAATTTGCATAAATAATTAGGGTGTCAGTAGACAACAGAAGGGGTAAAAGGTGATACAACCAGATCTGTGAAGAGATTTCAATTGAGAAGAGATTTAAACAGAAGTGTTGAAAATATTGAAAGCAACACTTTAGAATGAAGAATATTGTACCTGGCAGAATGAAAAGATAACTTTAGCTGATAGCCACAGAACAGCCATATAACATTAAAGAATGCATACACATTGTATTTGGTTTTTTTGTTTTGTTTTGTTTTTGTTTTTTTTGTACCAGGGATCGAACTCAGATCCATGTACTTACAAGGCAGAAGCAGAACCACTGAGCTAAATCCCAGGCCCTAAAACTGTATTCTAATACATATGTAATTCAAGTCCCAGAGAAGAGGAGAAGGCAGCAAAATATTTAAGGACATAATGACCAACATTTCCCCAAATTTCTTTTAAAATGCTACTTTCAGATAAAACGCCCATTTACCCAAATGCAGAATATTAAAAGAAAGCCACAACTAGATGCATTACAGTAAAACTGCTAAAAACCAAAGCTTTGAAAGTGACCAAAGGAAAAAACAAAAGGACACAGTATATATAGAGGAATAACTTTAAGAATGATGGTTAATTTTTTGTCAGAAACAATGGATTCTAGATGATGATGGAACATTAAACTTCCAAAAGGAAAAGAAGAAAATGTGTCAACCCAGAATTATTTTTTTAATCTAGCAAAGGCATACTTTGGAATTAGAACAAAATAAGATATTTCAGACACATGTAAGAAACTTCATTTCTGCTGGAATTTCACTATAATAAATACTACATGGTATTCTTCAAGCAAAAGAGAAATAATAGATGGAAACTCAGATCTACAGAAGAGAATGAAAAACATCAAAAATGATAAATATGTTGGTAAACATAAATGACTATTTTTTCTTTCTGTAATTTCCTTAAAAGACAATTGATGGTTTAAAATAAAAATAATACATTGTTAGGTGAGTTGGTAATGTGGATAGAAGTAAAAGTGACAGAGGCGAAAATAGTAAAATTAGATAGTAAGAAGAAAAAGTAAATTGAATTATGCTATTGTTAGTTTCTTATATTTGTGAAATGGCAAGTATTAAATATTAAGTAGGAAGAGTGAAGGAGGAAGTGGGAAAGGTGTAAAGCGGCATGAGAGTACTTCTGATATCGGTAAGGTAAAAAGGCATATTGTGCTGGCCAAGGTGGCGCACCCTGTAGTCCCACAATCTGGAGGCTGAGGCAGGTGGATTGCCATGATTTTGAATCCAGCATGGCCTGCATAGTTAGTTTAAGGCCAGCCTGAAATACATATCAAGACCCTGTCTCAAAAGGAAAAAAAAAAAAGGCATATTATTAACCATAGAAAAGTCACTAAATAATAATGTAGCTAAAGGGTCAATAAATACAATGAGATATTAAAATATTTACGTTGTACAAAAGAAAGCAATAAAGTTACAAAAATATAAGAATAGGAGAAACGAAAACAATAACATTATGGGCTTTAAATGAGGAAAATCTATAATTATATTAAATGTGAATGGACTAAGGCTCCAAATAAAAAGCCAATATAGGGCGGGGATTTAGCTCAGTGGTGCCACTTCCTGCGTTGCAAGTGCAAGGTCCTGAGTTCAATCCCTGGTACCACAAAGAAAAACAAAACAAACAAAAAAGCCAACATTGTCAGACTAGATGAAAAAGTAAGACCTACTAATACACTATAAGAGATTCACTTTAAATATAAAATTACAGGGAAGGGGATGTAGTTAAGTAATTCTTATCTAGCTTGTATGAGGCCCCAGCTTTGATTCCCAGCATCATAAATATATAAAAAATAACAGATAGATTAAGGTGTGGTTTTTTTTTTTTTGAACGGGCAAAACAAACTAGGTATTATGGCACATGCCTGTAATCCCAGCATTTAGGAGGCTGAGGCAGGAAAATTGTGGGTTCGAGTACAACCTGGACTATATTATGAGACCCCTATCTCCGAAAACAGGTAAATAATACCATACAAACACAATGCATAACAAAATTGTTGTGTCTATATTAATAACACAGCAGCTCAAGACAAAGGGTATTACTGAAGATAGAGGACATCTCACAATTAAAGGATTCAATTCCTCAGAAAGACATTAAAGTCCTGAGTATGCACTAAAACAGAACTTTGAAATATATGAAGAAACAAGGGAAAATAGCAAATCCAAAAACTGTGTGAGATATAATACTCCTTTCTCAATAACTGAGAGAATAGTGGTAAGAAAGTAAAATCTATAGATCTGAACAACTCCCACAACCATATTGACCTTTACAGAACATTGTTCCCACCAACTGCAAAATGTACTTCCTTTCCAAGTGCATGAGTGTTATGTTTTATATCTAGATGTCTCCCAAAAGCCTCATGCATTCGTAGGCGGGGCTTTCAGAAGATGACTGGATCACAGGGGCCGACAGTGACTTGTCCTTAGGATGTGAGGTCTGGTCCTTAGAGGTGGGTCACTAGAGGGTTACACAGAAGGGTTTATCTCCCTTCCCACTCCTCCCTTGCTCTCTGCTTCTTGTCTGCCATATTGCAAGCACCTTTTCTCCGCCATGCTGTCCTGGCTTGGAGCCAGAGTAAGGACTGAAACAGAGCCAAAATAAACCTCTCTTCTTTTAAATTGTGTTGTCAGGTACTGTGTCTCTGTGACAAGAAAAGTGACTAAGTCAAGAAGTATTCACCAAGCTAGGTCATATGCTGAGTAAAGAAATAAGTCTCAACAAAATTCAAAGGTTTAAAATTTTAGAGTATATTCTTTGATCATGATGATACAAATCAGTAACAGTATGATACCTAGGAAATTCCCAAATTCGTTGAAATGTATACCGTACTTCTAAATAACTTACGCATCAGACAAAAAGGCAAGGGAGCTGGGATGTAGCTCAGTAGTTCAGTGCTTACCTAGTATAGGCAAGGCCTTGGGTTCCACCCTAGTATGGAGGGGGGGAAAACTACAAGAGAAAGAAGGAAATATTTCAAACTGAATAATAATAGAAAACATCAAGATTTGTGATATGCATGTAAAGTAGTGCTTAGAGAAAAGGTTATAGCAGTAATGCCTGTGTCAGAAAGGTCTGGATTCAGTGACCTATGTTTTCAGTTTAGGATTCTAGAGGGAAAAAAAAAAATCAAGTTCAACCCAAGGCAATTAAAAGGAAATAAATAATAAAGACTAAAGCAGAAATCAATGACATAGAAAAATATGAACTACAGACTATCAACAGAGCCATAATTTAGTTCTTTGAAAAGGTAAATAAAATTGACAGTTTCCTAACAAACTAATCGAAAATAAACTAGTCAGGAAAACTTACATTTTCAATATCAAGAATGAAGTTTTATTATATATATTTAAAAAGGCAAGAATATGAAAAGCTTTATGCTAATAAATTTGGTAACTTAGATGAAATGGATGGAACCTTGCAAAATACAACTTATCCAAGCTTGACTTGAAATATAATAAAAAAGGAACAGATAGAAATAGATCTCAAATTAACAATATTAAATGTTTCCAGTCCCAGAAGTTTTTATAAATTATATACAGTATTAAGAATAACTTGAAACTTGTACTTTTTCACTGAATGGACGTATAACTCATTTTATGAGGCTATCATAACTCTAACACCAAACTTTGGCAAAGACATTTCTGGAAAATAAATTATAAACCATTATCTTTCATTAATAGAAATGCAAAAATAAGTCCTCAATGAAATATTCAATAAAATTCAATGACATACAGGAAGAACAACGCATGACTAAATGGGGCCTATCCCAGGAATGCAAAGTTGACTCAACATTCAAAATCAACTGTATAAGCTGGGCGTGGTCGCGCACACCTATAATCCCAGCACTAGGAGGCTGAGGCAGGAGGATAAATTAGAAGCCATCCTGGGCTACATAGTGAGCTCAAGGCCAGTGAGTTCAAACAAAAACAAAACAAAGCAAATAAGAGTAGAAGGTAACTTTCTAAATTTGATGAAGGAAAACTTACAGGTTCTTAAAGTCTTAGCTCAAACTTGTAATCGTACTGCCTCAACCCCCCAGAGGTCTGTGACCACGGGCATGTGCTGCTGGGCTTGGCCTCTAATCTGATTTTCTTTCTTTTTCTTTTTGACACTGGGAATTTAATGGAGGGCCTTGTACTTGCCAGGCAGGTGCTGAGCCACATCCCCAGCTCTTTAACCTGACTTTTGAAGCTGTAACTTGCATACTGTTTGACTGAAATGACTGCACTTTTCCCTGTGATTGGACCCCCCATTTCCAACCCTTCCACCTTCCAGATCTTACTACACACAGTGTTCGTTTTCTTTTGCCTAATGAATAACTGATCATGGAGGTGAGATCTGAATGAGAAGAGGAAATAGCTTGCTCGGACATGGCCAAGTCCCAACACATGAGATGCACAGAAGTCTTCTTCTGCTGCAAGCAGAGCCAGGAGACAGGAATAGGAGGTACAGGGGCCACTCGCGTGGACTTGCACAGTCCTCACTGTTGTTCTTCATGTCCCGCAGATGCAGAGAAGAGCTGCCAGCCACTGCTGGAGACTTTGCGACAGGCTATGGATGGCACTGTGTACGCCCACAGCACGTTGGAACTGCAGACGCTGCTGCCTATGGTCAACTTCCTTGCCACTACCACAGTGCCAGGAAGTTGTGAGCTCCCACTGTGCCCACGCCTCTCTCGACTCTTCACAGTGCTGGCCCTGGGCAGCATGACGCAGGCCACCCTGCTGAGCAGGCACACACCGAACATCCAGTCCTGGCTTGAGCGGTTTCCCACCGTGGAGCAGGAGGGCAGTCTGGGTAAAGCCCTGGTGCAGGCCTCGCTGGACGCCTGGGAGGCTGTGAGCCGCTGTTTCATGCCTTCACCTCTCCACCCACACTACCGTTTTTCCCTGCACTCTGTGAGCAACCTTCTGGAAAGCCTGCAGCTGCTGCCTTCCAGAGTGGGCTCACAAGTTTTTGAAGACTGTTTCTATGACAAGGAGCACTTGCACCGGGTGTCAGGCTTGCGTGGCACTTGCCTGACTATTATGATGACCATGCGCTGCATGGTGCGCCTTTGGTTGCATGAGGCTCAGAGAACTTTTTGTGATCGGCTGGACAGCCCCAGGGAACGCACCTACTGTGCTAAGCTGCTCCTAGCAATAGCTCAGAGGGTCTTCTGCCACAGCCCAGGGCCCCAGCAGTTGGGCAAGGACCACAAGGAACAGGGGGGAGAGGAGGAGGAAGAAGAGAAGGAGGAAGAGGAAGAGGAGGAGGGAGTCCCTGAAGTAGAATCTGAGGGAGAGTTGGCCCAGTGGGAAGACTTAAGCAGAAGCAATAGTGAAACAGAGGAGGAAGAGGACTCTTATGGTCTTCAAGCCACTGCCAGCTCCTACTCCAGTGATCCAAGTCTGGCACCATCCGTAAAGAGAGTAAGCAGGGAGACCATGGGAAGCATAAGTCACAGGATAGAACAGGGAGAAGGCAAAAGGGCTTCCAGCTGTAAGCTCCAGTCCAAGGAAATCAAACCTTGGTGGCAGAAGGCAGCCCAGATGGACATGGTCTCACCCCTGTTGCTACCAGTATTGCTACTTCGTCCCAAGGAAAAACCCTCAGACTTGGTCTTCTGTCAAGAGCTGATACTTGGGTCCAATTCTGAGGGTCCCAACTTGTATCTAGAACGACAATGGGAAAGCTTGGAAGAGCAGCTGGCCGCTTCAGCTGCTCAGCTGAGACTGAGCCCACACCTTGTCCGGTGCCGCTCCATGGCCCAGCATGTGGCCCGCCTGGTCCGGGTGCTGGCCAGGCCCCGGCAGCATGGCCTACTGCTCTCAGGGGCTCCAGGTACTGGGCGCCGAATTGCCATCACTCTGGCCACTGGCATTTGTCAGGCCCGCCTCTTCCGTCTGCCAACTGGGCCAGAGGAGGCCATTCTCCAGTGTCTGCGAGATGCCAGCTGGCATGCTGGGATGTTCAGCCAGCCGGTGGCCCTGCTGGTGCCCAAGGATGTGGATCTAACTACTCTTCGTCAGCTGGTGGCCCTGGCAACCTTGGGCAGTTTCCCTGACCAGTACACAGAGGCAGATTTGGACAGCATCGAAGAACATCTCCCCAGGGAGAACTTTGGTATCAAATATAACTTTAAGAAGGAAATGGTGCTGCAGAGGTAAGACCCAGCCCCACACCTGAGCCTGCTCTGCTATCATTCTGTCCTAGTCGTGAGGCCAAAAGGAAATTCATGGGTTATTTTGATGGCTCAGAAGATGAGGGCAAAGGGGTCAGGGTTGGAATGGGCCTAGATGGGCAAACAGGTCGAGAGAAGGACTCAGCAAGCTGAGTTCCTGTCTATAGATTCTACCAGCAAGTATGTAGCCACCTGCACATGTTTTTCCTGATGGGAGATGACCTGGCCCAAAAGAAGCTGCCCTCCACCATTTTCCTGAGGCTCCTTCAACTGGCCTCTGCCAGCATCGACCACTATGAACCCTGGGACCAAGCTTCCTTGGTGAGAGTGGCCCAGTACCACCTGGAAGGTGCTCAAAGCCTACCCCTTGATGATGGTAAGAGCCCTTTTCACCTGTCCTCACCACTCATGTCAGCCAAGTTCTAATGAGAGTTGTTACCTAGGCAAGAATCCCGCCCCCTCAGCTTCCTTCACATCTTCTGCCCTCTTTCCTGAGCTAGAAGAGATTATTTTCCCTTTCTTATTCCCTAAGCTCACAGAGCTAGGCTAAGGCTGTGCCCATTGCAGGATCCTTGAAGTGCCCAGACCTCCGGGTCTCAATTCCCAGTGTGGCTAAAGTCATGGCTCTCATCCACCTTTCTGCTGCCTACTACTATGAGCACCTGTGCCCTGTATTGCCACTTGTCACCCCCAAGACCTTCTTAGATTTTCTGGATACCTTCCTGCTGTTGCAGCAAAAGATGGTCCTGCAGATGAAGAATAAAGCAAAGAGGTAAGTGATCCCATTCCCTGAACTCTCCCTCCTGCTTCCTTGGGTCCACTCACTGGTGCGTGTATCTCCAGGGTCCAAAGTGCACTGGAGAATCTGAAAACTCTGGTTGAGCAGCACAGTATCCACACCAACCTGGTCATCAACTTGGAGTGAGAGAGAGAGAGAGAGAGAGCAAAGAGTACTCGGGAGGAACCAACCAGAGTGAACTTTAGCTCTTATTTTCCCAGAGTCCTCCTTTGCCCTGGGGATCACTATAATCCTTGCTGCCTCCTCCCTTTAAAGCTTAGGCTCAAACATTTCCCATGACACACAAAGACAAGACTAATTTTTATAACATACAATACCCAAGTGATGGGAGAGAGAGAGAGAGAGCAAAGAGTACTCGGGAGGAACCAACCAGAGTGAACTTTAGCTCTTATTTTCCCAGAGTCCTCCTTTGCCCTGGGGATCACTATAATCCTTGCTGCCTCCTCCCTTTAAAGCTTAGGCTCAAACATTTCCCATGACACACAAAGACAAGACTAATTTTTATAACATACAATACCCAAGTGATGGTGTGAAGGTCAGTGTGTTTCCGGGACCTCTGTGTCTCCCACTGAGGGATGGGACGGCAGTTGCAGTATCGCAGTCAACTCTTCCCTTGAATCCCCTATCACTGTGAGTTGGCTTGCTTTTTTAGCCATACCACCCTTTCTTCCTATACTGCTTTACCTTGTATCTCTCTCTTCCAAAAACACCAAATTGGTATGGTGGGCCATGCTTGTAATCCCAGCACTTGGAAGGCTGAGGCAGGAGGATCACCATGAGTTGGAGGTCAGCCTGAGCTACATAGTGAATTCAAGGCCAGGCTGAATTTTTTTTAAAAAAGCACCTACAAAAGGTGTGATTCAAATATACAGTGAATGATTAATTTAAATTTTTTGTTACTGTGAAAGACACACTGACAGTAATTCCTCCCAGAATGCCTCCATTTCAAAACACACTTGTCATAGTTCTTGCCACTTCCCAAAGCAGTGCTGGAAGTCCTCTTTTGTGAGTGTCTTTTACAAGGTGAGATCAATAGTATGGGGAGGTGACAGGACTTGAGAGAGATTGGGCAATTTTTAGACTACAAGTATGGAGAAGACGTATAAAAGCATAAGATGAGAACAGAAGGGGGGACCTGAAAAAATTGCTAAACAGATTTGGATGTGGTGGTACATGCCTGTAATCCCAGAACTCTGGGAGGCTGAGGCAGGAGAATCATTGCCAGTTTTGGCAATTTAGTAAGTTAGCAAGACCGTCTGTCAAAATGTAATGGGGGAGGGGGCAACTGGAGCTATAGCTCAGTAAGAAGGTCCTGAGTTCAAGCCCCAGTACTGAAAAAAAGAAAGAAAAGTGAAAAAAAAAAAACAGTTGCCAAGGAATAGCTAAAGGATGGCAGAGGAAGGAACTGAGAAAGGGTAGCTAAAGAGGTTGGAGAAAGCTTACGGAGCACACAGTGCCGTGAAAGCCAGGGGGAGAAGAATGCTTCCGGATGGAGGGAGCTATCTCCCCTGACAGCTGCTTCCAAGGGGCCAAGTAAGATAAGGAAAGTAGCATAATAGTTACCCATGTAGGCTTTGGAGTCAAATTGCCTGGGGCTGTATGCTGAAGTGGTTACTGCCTGCTTAAGGCTGTATTCCTAGGTGTGTGACTCACGCAGCAGTAAGTGATAGATCCAGAGCTGACTCTTATCTGTGCCCTAAGCACAGTCCAACTCGGTCACCCTGTCAGGCCCACAGGATCCTCCCCTGGGGCATTCCCATGTCACCCAGCATCTAAAGCTGCAGGCCTGCTCTCTGTTCCCAGAACCTCAACCTGTGTAAGCAGCAGCTAGAGCAGAGCAAGCTCCTGTACGAGAGGCAGTTGGCAGAGTGTCGACATCAGAAGAACCTCACTGAGAATCTGGCCAGGCAGCGGGATGCCCTGCAGGATCAGCACAAGGCTTTTCTTGAACAGGTGGGCCCTTCCTGCCACCTGCCCTGCGTTGCTCCTCTTTTGGGAGAGAACAACCCCTCACGGGATGCCCAGAGGGGTGGATGAGGTGACTCATAATGGCGTCTCTTGGGGGAGAGGGCCAAGGTCTTAGTGTGTGTTAGGGAGTGGCCTCTCACAGGGTCTCCCAGGAGGAGATGCTCCCTCCTAGAAACACCTTGCAGAAAGAGCAGAACATCTCAGGAGCTCGCTTCAGTATGCATCTCTCCTCACTTAGATGGGAAAGGCCTTTCTGGGTCCTCTGAGCCAGCTGCAGGTGGCTGACTTTGAAGAGATACGGAGCTATCGAGCACCGCCAGAATCCGTAGTGCGGGTGACTGATGCACTGTGTGACCTGTTCCACCATGAAACCGGCTGGTCCAGTGCCAAGCAGCTGCTGTGCACTGAAGACTTTTATCAGGTAGGGCAGATGAAGGAGGACAGGAGAGGCCTAAAGGGGAGACTGAGCAGGGCTAGACTGCTGGGTCACACTCCAGAGCACCTGCGTCTTCCCCTTTCTCCTTGACACATACCCTCCCAGGAGCTGGTGTTCTTCCCCAAGGAGAAGATGACAGACTCAGAGCTGATAAGGTTAAACCAAGCTCTGAAGGCTCCAGGTATGAGCGACCCGGCCCTGCGCGCAGTCAGCGTGCCTGCAGCAAGCCTAGCGGCCTGGCTCTGGGCCGTTCTGCGCTACGGGCTGGCACAGCGCCGGGGACTGCCAACCAGCCTGCTGCTGCAGCAGGTGGAGGCAACCCTGGCTCGGGAGCAGGCCCGCCTAGGCCACTACCAGCTGCAGGTCCAGGAGAAGCTGGAGGACATTCTGACCCTGACCAAGAAGGTGCAGGATGCCCAGGCTTCCCACAGCCATATGGTGGGGTCCCTCACTCTGGCACAGTGTGGTCATTATAAAAAATGGCCCGTGAAGCCCGCGCTAATCACACCCATGCACACTTGGACTACACAGCTCCAGGTAAGCAGCCTCCTCCCCACCACGCCCTCAGAGGTCCCTGGCCCCACTCTCCTCTCCATACTGTCCTCCGTACCCTGCCTTGCTTCCCCTTGTAGGACCCTTCTCCTGCCTGCTCTCCCTGCCCTACACACTTCTGCTCTTCCCTGTACACCAGAACATGAAGGGGCACTGCGTGACTGTGTTTGGAGATGCTCTCATGTGCTCAGCTGCCATTGTCTACCTGGGCCCTTTCCCACCACCACGGCGCGAGGAGCTGCTGAACAAGTGGCTGGCCCTGTGCAGGGGCTTTCAGGAGGCCCTGGGCCCTGACGACATGGCGCAGGCACTGAAGCCAAAGCAGAAGTTTGTCATCGCGCCACCAAAGAACCCCCTGCTGCCCACACGCTTTCCCTTCAGCGTTCTGTCTTTGCTGAGCTGTAGCTCTGAACAGAACCAGTGGGACCGAGACCTGAAGCCCCAGGGCAAGTCAGCCCGCCTGGCAGGCCTGCTCCTGCGAAGCTGCACCCACTACCGTAGTTGCCGTTGGCCTCTGCTGCTTGACCCCAGCAACCAGGCCCTCATATGGCTGAGCCCACTGCCGCTGGAAGAAAACAGGTGCTTGGTGTCCACTACCACTGAGGGCAGAGGTAAGGCAGGGGCGGTAACACGATGCTTCTGGGGGTCTCAGGCTCTCATATTCTTCCGTTCCATAGTGGAAATGCTAACTTTTTGCAGTCAGAATATCCCAGTTTTTATCAGCCTATCCTATATTAATAAGTTTGGTCACTTTTTTTTTTTTTTTTTGCCTGTGATGCAGTGATCCCGATTTTATGTGACCAACCAAAATATACTTCCCTGGTCTGCTTGGCATTGTTGGAAACCTTGCTCACAACCCAGAGTTTTACTGGCCAATTTAGCCATGGCTCAGAAATGCCAGGGGAACATTTTTATTGAGTATTTTTGGATCATCTTGGTGGAGCACTGGATGATACATTTCCTAGGAGAAGGAAGAGAGAGTGCTTATTTCCCAGAAGATGGAATTAGGGGGTTAAGTAGGTGAGGGAAATGTGATCTTATTTGGAAAAAAAGTCTGTGCAGATGTAATGAAGTTCAGAACCTTGAAATGAGATCAGCCTGTATGTTACATGAACGGGCCCTACCTCCCATGATAATCATCTTGTAAGAGACAGAAGAGAATGAATAAATACATTAAAAAGATGGCCGTGTGGGGAGAGGACGATACAGAGGTCTGTAGCCGCAAGCCAAGGCATACCGGGAACCACCACAGAATAGAGGAGGCAAGCAAGGCATCTAGCCTCAGAGTGCAACCAACTCCTTGCTTTCCGACTTTGGCCTCCACTACTATGAGAGAATAAGTTCCTGTTGCTTTAAAGCCACTATATTTGCGGTGATTGGTTATGCAGCCCTAGAAACTAATACACATATTCCAGTTGCAAAGCCCCTCCAGTTATCATGACAGAGCTGCTCCTGGCCCTTTCTGTCTCTTTTATCAGGAAAGCAAAAAACCCTCCAGAAGTCTAAATAGCCAAATGTGGTAGGCAGATTTTGGCCCCTATGACTTTTGCCTTCTGATATTATTCTCATGATTATGTTATATGATTCAAAAGACTATGGAGATATATTAAGGTTACTAATCAGTTAACCTTAAGACAGAAATATGTTAGCCTGAATTATCTAATTAATGGGTCCAATGTAAGCAAGTGAGACTTTAAAGCAGAAGGGAAGCTAGGCATGGTGGCGATGCCTATAATCTCAGCACTGAGAGGCTGAGGCAGGAGGACCGCAAGTTCAGGCATAGACTGGGCAATTCGGCAATTTAGTGAGGTTCTGTCTAAAAAAAAAAAAAATTTAAAGGCTGAGGGTATAGTTTTATCCCTAGTATGAGGGCAAAAAGAAAAGAGGAAAGGAAACACAAGTTTAAAACACAAGAAAGATTTGATGACCTGTTGCTGGCTTACAGATGAAAGGGTCTACAGGGCAACTGTGAGAAGGAAGCAAATTCTGTCAGAAAGTAGTAAGAACAAAGTGTGGTGGCATTTGCGTATAGTCCCAGCTACTTGGGAGGCTGAGGCAGGAGGATCACTTGAATGGGGAATACAGGGAGGTCCTGTCTCAAAACAACAACAACACAAAAAAAACCATATGGCCTGGAAAACATTTTCCAGCTCCACAGGAGATCTGTAGCCCAGCTAACACCTTGATTTTAGCTCGGTGAAACCTTGAGATCAGAATCTGTCCCTGCTGGGCTGAGCCTCTCATCTACAGAACCGTCACATAATAAATGGACCTAGCTTCAAGCTGTTAAACTTTTGGAAACTTGTAGCAATAGCAAATAAATGCACCACACTGGCAACCTCCACTTTCAAGAGAACCTAAAAGAAAAGAAGAAAAAAAAAAGCATTTATCTTTTCCAGATTCTGTGGCTGAGCCTAGGAGTTTTAGGCCAGCCTGGACAGCATAGCGAGGGAGAAAGGGGGACAGGAATAGCTGTCGGTTAGCCAACCATCTGTGTTCGCCGCGCTACCCATGACTTGGCTAATTGCACAGTGGACAGCCTTCTCACTACTCCAGCCTTTGGTTTCCAAATTAGTGAGGACTCTTTTAGTTGTTGGTGCAGAATTAGCCTAGAAAAAAAGAAGGGCAAGGCATTGACTCTTCTAACCAGCCCACAGAAAGGGCAGAAAAGGGGCCAGTTTTGGAGATGACTAACCCTTCTCTGGAACTCAGAATAATAATGAGAACCAACATCTACTGAGTACTCACTATACACCAGCTTCAGTGCTGTCGATTGCATTGAATCTTCACAGTAACCCTATGGGGTCATCATAGTATCAGCTCCCTTTTGTAGATAAGAAAACTGTGTCATAGAATTTGAGCAACTTCCCTGAGGTGTCTTGCAGACCTTCCCTCATGGAATAGAGCCTTCCTCTCAGAAGTGCTCCTGTGCACCTTCCTCTCCCAGGGAAGGGCCTCATGAGAAATCCAAACGGAGAGAATAGACAGGAGCCCAAGGAAGGAGAAGAAGATGATCGTGAAGACAGAAATAAGGCTACAGACCAGACAGAAGAGCAGAGCGCAGAGGAATGGGAAAATGAGGAGGAAGAAGCACAAGGGAAGAAAGAGAAAGAACAGAAAGAGGAGACAGAGAATGAGACAGAGAACCAGGGGTCAAAACTAGCCCCTGAGACTCAGTCTCCGCCTCTTCTCTGCCTTAGTGTGCTCTCGGGCACTGACTCGGAGTTGGGTCCTCGGCTCCGGGAGGCAGCTGCCAGTGGTGAGGATGGATCCCGGTCACTATGCCCCTCGCTGTACTCCCCCAACCCTGTGATCCCACAGGCTTCTGACACCACACTCTGAGCTCAGCTCCCATGTTTTCCCCACTATGTGGAAGAATCTTTAGGGATTCTCATCAGAGAAGTGCCGGTCAGAGCCAGGTCTTTGCAAGGAGGGCACAGAGAGCCTGGCCCTATGGGTTGTTTGTCCTTGTTTCCCTGCACAGGCCGGCCTGTGCTCCTGACAAACATGGAGCTGGGCCTCGGGTGCAGAGAACTGCAGTGGCTGCTGCAGCGGGAGCAACTGAGTCCACCCCACGTGCAGCCTGGCTTCTGTCTCTATCTGAGTACTACCCTCCCCCTTCATGCCCTGGAAAAAGGTGAGATCCAGAGAGTAAGTTGCCAGCCCCTTTGCAGACACATTAGGCCCCCCGCGGACTTCATTCGACCTCTCCCAGAGCAGGCTCAGAACTGTAGGAGGGAGCCACACTCCCTGTCCACCCACCTCTGCCAAGGGGAAGGAATTGAGCATATTTCTTGTGACCCCCAAGTGCTAGGTTGTGAACTGCTGAAGGGGCTGAATATCCTGGATCTGGGCCTAAACATGGAAATACTAGAAAACCAGATGCTACATGAAGTCATGCACAGAGAGTGTCCTGAGCTTGAGATCCGTTGGGAGGACCTAAAGATCAGAGCCCTGGATGCCTGTGAAGCCCTGGATGCTGCTGAGGTGCTTGGGGGCCCAAACTCTGGGACAGGATGAGCATTGGAAGGGCCCAAGTAGGGAGGTAGAGATGAATGTAGATGTTTGGGCAGCATAAGGAAGAGCCAGATCCATCCAAAAAAATTACTATTTGCAGGAACAGTTGCTGCTGCTGCTGCTGTTCCAGAATCCAGAGAATCAGAAACCAGCCAAATTTCTACGGGACATTGTGCGAGTCCAGGCAAAGATCTGTCAGCTGCAGGCCCATTGTGAGGAACTAAAAGAACAGAAGCTACAGGAGGTGGTATTGTGGCTACCCTACCAGCAGGTGGTTTGGCATGGAATGGCCATAGTAAAGGCCCTAAGCCCACTACAGAACTTGCTGCCCTTTTTCCACATGAGTGCAGAAAATTGGCTGGCAGCAACCAGGCAGGCTCTGGACAGCATGAAGCCACATGATGTTCAACACAGGGAGGACCTGGCTAGCCATTTGCTGCAGCTGAAAACACACCTGACCCGCCAGCTGCTGCGCAGCACCTTGGCTGCCCTAGGACTAACCCAGGTATCCTTGGTGGGTGCCTTGGGTGCTTTGGCTCTGCTGCAAGTGACAGAGAAAGTACCAAAGCTGGAGAGGCTGGCGCTATGGCCTGGACTGGCAGCCTCTCCCAGCACAGGCCACCAAAAGCCAGACCCAGATGTGGTTAGGCCAAACTGGATTACGCCAAGAACCTGGCAGGAATGTGGGATGTTAGAACTCCTGCCTCCATTTGTTGGGCTGTGTGCATCCCTGGTAAACCATTCTGATGTGTGGCAGGATTACCTGTCACTGTCATCCACAGTGCTGGGTCCTGCACCTGGGCCCAGCTCTGAGCCCCTCAGCCTCCTCCAGAAATTGATCCTGTGGCGTGTGCTGCGACCGGAGTGCCTAGCAGGTGCCCTAGCAGACCTCACCACCAGCCTCCTGGGCCGGCCTCTGGATGAGAACCTGGGTATCCCCACCTTGCCCTTTGAACATAGTCAGGCTACTCAGCCCATACTGATCTTGTTGCCACCGCCTGGCCACCCCACAGCCACCCTACATCCTCTGACTGTCATCCAGAAACTGGCTGCCGAGCATAAGCAGGTTTGAAATTATCTCTTGGCCACAGAGTGACTGGAACCCTATGGGGTGGGATAAAGTGGTAGGGCCCACCCCCCAGCATTCTTATATAGGTCTGTGTGGATTAGAGTTACTTTGGAGTCATTGTGACATTACTCTGAGTCACCTCGGTCACCCTAGGACCACTTAGAGTCACTGCCATGTTTGTGCTGGTCCCCAGGGGCAAAAGCATCTGCAGGTGATGGCCCTGGGCTCGGAAGCCTGGAACCCAGTCTCAGATGTGGTCAGCACTCTACGCCAGGCTATGTCTGAGGGGCACTGGTTGGTGCTGGATAACTGTCATCTGATGTCCCACTGGCCAAGAGAGCTACTGCAGCCCTTGCTGGGGCTGTTGGATGGAGCCCAGGGTGAGTGTGCTGCTCAGAGAGGATTCTAGTGTCAGAACCTGCACTTGGCCTTCATTTGGAACTCTCAGGCCTTATAACTGACCCTCTAGATCCAAGCCTGTCCCCTTGGCCTTGTGTCTGCCTCTTGCTCACCCAGTGTTAAGTGTGACACCCAAACTTTGACCAGTTATCTGAGGGCTGATCTCAGCCTCTTGTCAAACCCTAGTGGTCTCGGATCTGGAAATGGAACTGCTTTCAGCTCAGCCTGAAAGCAGGAATGTGGCCACTGTCCATAGAGATTTCCGTCTTTGGCTTATTGCATCTGCAGAGGCCAGTGCTTTGCCAGGTGAGAAACATCCCCCTGTGTGCTCTCAATCCCAGCACTAAGGAGCCTGAGGCAGGACTTGTGAATTCAAGGTCAGCCTGGGCTACATAGTGAGATCAAGGCTGGCCTGAACTATATTCAGAGACCCTGACTCAAAAACAAAAACAAAATAACCGGAGGAGGGAAGGTAACTGTGCAGTGCTGACTCAGCACCCTCCTCCACCCCCCCCAGCTGTGCTGAGTCAGCATTCCATGCCTGTTTTCTGGAACCAGTCTCTGGAGCTGGGTCACATCTTGATCCACAGTCTGGAGCTGGCCCAGCAAGGAGTCCACAAGCAACCGCCTTCGCAGGTACTGCCTCTGTTGCTCCTGCATGGTCTCCTGCTGCACCGGCAGCTCTATGGAATGAGGCTGCAGGCACACCGGGGGCACTGGTGAGCTACCCACCTATGCTGTTGTCATTCCTGGGGCAACCTCCACATGCTGGGTTGAGTGAAACCAATTCATCTTGGGGAGTTTCGGACTGAGGGTAACAGGGAGGTCTCAGAAGGCTTCTCCAAGGACTCTGTGATCTCTGAGTTGAGTCTTAAGGGCAGAGGCAATCACGTAGAGATTTCTGAACAGAAGGAAGTAAGCTCAGCAGAAGGGAGACTTCAGAGTAGCTGAGTGGACATGCAGGGAGTTGAGTGGGAAGAAGTGAGGCTCATCACAGGTGTGTTTAAGACCATGACAAATGGCCGATGTTATCCTGACAACAGTGGGAAGCACTGAAGTGTTTTTAGTGGAACAAATGTGATCCTGTTTGTTGAAAAGATCACTTTGGCAGCAGTGGCCGGCAGGGCCGGGGGCAAGCAGAGTAGTTTAGGAGGCTTTGGCAGTTCCAGGGAAGAGATTGTAGTGTGGGTGGGAGAGACGAGGTAGTAGGGATAAAGAATAAATACTGTATTGGGTAAGGAAGAAGATGTCAAGGGAGACTTCCAGATTTCTGCTTTAGGCAGCTCGGTGGCTCCTTCCTCTCTCTGGGATAGGAGATGGAACAGGTTTCAAGCAGAACGTGATGATTTCACTTGAAAGCAAGTTGTATTTGAGGGGCCATAAGGCGATCACTAGTGAGCCCTCATGAACCTGGAGCTCTAGAGAGGCGATATTTGAAACCCTATTTTCTGTTCCCCTCTTTCAGGAGTCATTTGACCCTGACCCAAGCCCTTAGGACCCAAGAGCAGCTGTGGGCCAGTCTTAGCAATCCCAGCACTGCCATGCAAGAGCTGGCTGGTGAGCTCCTTCCTGCCCCCATGCACCCATCGGCCCCAGGAGAGCCTGGGAAAGGGAGGGGGTGGGAGTTTTACAATCAAGATATAATTCACAACTTTGGTTTAGGTGGGTAGCAGAAACAATGAAGGGGGGTAGAATTGGGGTGTTCTGATCTCATCCCCAGCTTCAGTTTTCTATGGGGGATCTCTGGGGGATACCAAGGACAGAGAGGCCCTGACTAGCCTCACCCAAGCCTGCTTGTGCTCTGGGAACCTGAGCTGGGTCCAACCACACACACCTCAGTATCTGCTGGCCACCCTGATGCCCAGCCCAGGTAAGCAGCAGGAAGGTACCTGTGTTGGGGAGGGCCAGAGTGAAGTGCAATGCCACCCCCACAGAGGTGTGGACATCAGTGACAATAAAAGTATATGAGGGGGCGACATACAGACACTTGTGGGTGGTGGCCTAAAGGGTCAAGGGAAGGCCTACACCCTCTCGTCTGGGGTGGGGAGTCCATCTTGTTCCTCACTGTTTCACCTCCACTCCCAAGAGCTGGAGAAGCTGGATGCTATAGCGGAGTGCAAGGCCCAGATGCACCTACTGCCCACACCGTCTGAGCCCCAGATCCGTGGACTGAGTGAGGGCCCCCAGGCCTGGCTGTTGGAACGCCAGAGTCGTGCTCTCCTGAGCGCCTTCCAGCGGAGTTCATCCACGTGGGTTCCTGCAGCTCGCAGGGGTGCTAGGTGCTTGGAAAGGCGGCTGAGGCAGCGCCTAGTGCAAGTCAAGGAGAAGCTGGAGTCATTGCAGGTCGTGCTCAACTGCCACACTCGCCGAGACCAGTCTAGCGCGGCGCGGGGCCGCAGTACCGCGCTGCCTGTGGAGGACTTCCTAGAGACTGAAGCGTTGGAACTGAGTCAGCTGTTGGCTGCACTGCAGCGCGACCTTGACTGCCAGCTGCGGCAGTTGAAGGGCGAACCTCCGTGCCCCTCCCGCCGCTGTGCCGCGGTCGCTCATGCTCTCTGGACTGGACGCCGGCCGGCGCCTTGGCGACCCCATGCGCCCTCTGGTCCACCCTGGCAATGGCTTCAACAGCTGTGCTGCCGTGGGCAGCTGTTGGTTGGTTACCTGGGTGCGAAAGCAGGGACTGAAGTATCAGAGCGCGTCTTCCACCTGTCAGCTTTTCGCCGCCCGCGCCGCCTGCTGCTAGCACTGCGCTGGGAGGCTGCCCTGGAGCAATGCGTGTCCAGCTCGATTTTTCCTGGCAGCCAAGGCTCCAGCTCCTGTCATCTCCCGCATAAACGCCGGGAACTGAGCAGCAGCCCTCTGCACCTCCGGGTATGTTAGCGTTACCCCTCTGTCCCCCGCGACGCCCCCTCAGTCCTTGACTACACCTCATCCCGCGCCTCAGTAACTGCATTTCTGATCTCACTCTGCCTTGACCTCCACCTTCCACTCCCCACCTTCACAGCTTTGTCTAACCAGCTTCTGGCCCTCCAGGTGGAGAACGGCCCAAATCCCAAGGTTCCAGAGATGGGGCTGCTCCTGACGGGGCTGCAGCTCCTGCATGCCCAGTGGGACCCGGCGTCGGGGGCCTTGCAGGACAGCGCTTCCAGCCAGCCCAGCCCTCTGCCTCCTGTCAGTGTCAGCGCATGCTCCCGCTGCCCCAGTGCCTCGCGGAGCAAGGCCGGCCTGGCTGTGTACTCCTGTCCCGTGTACGTGGCAGGGCCCCTCGGCACCACTAAACTGCACAGCAGGAACATCCTGATGCATATTCCTCTACCCACGAAACTTAGCCTCGCCACCTGTATCCAACGCAGGGTCCATGTGTGCAGCCCGCCCTTGCACTGCTCTCTACCAAAATAAAATTGTTGTGATCCCATGAATGATTTATGGGATTTGGAAAGAGAATAGGGTATGCACGGCAGGCAAAATATCACACACACACACACACACACACACACACACACACACGGAAAAATACAGTGTGCACAAATGAGGAAAGGTGTATTCACGTGAAGGGGCAAGTGCCTGGCAACTAGGGATAGGAGAGGGTATACTTCAGAAGGGGGCTGGTGTAGTCATCTAAGGGATTAGGCAGATCTGGCAGTGGCTAACACACCGAATCCTGAATCTTTTCCCAGTTCTTTACTGTGGTCTCAGAACACGTACTCAATCCTCAAGGGATATCTTTGAAGGGAGAACATTAAAACTCAAAATGCTTTCTTATGACATGTAGTGGTATTACTGGGAATTTTCCAGTCCTGCCCTAACACTCACACCCATCGTCTCCTATGATGGATTCTCTAAATGAGTCATATACACAAAAAGCAAACGCTAAGAGAGAAAAGGTCATGGTGGTGCAGGCCTGTAATCCCAGCACTCAGGAGGCTGAGGCCAGCCTACATAATTAGACCTGTCTCAAACAAAACAACAAAAACCAAAAAACCAGAATGTCCTATGTTCAAAAATTATTTACTTGGCACTCAACCACACCAGGTGTTCTTCCAGGCACTGATGAGGCTGTTCTAATTAGGGCAACAGGCAATAGGGTCAATATAAATATATAATTTTGATGATTTCGGGATGCTATCAATAAAACCAAATAGGCTATCGAGTGACTAAGAGGGGAATACTTAGTAGGATGATCAAGGAGGTCCGCCCAAATACTGAGCTACTTGAAGATCTAGAAGGAATACTCAGTAGAACCCTCAGTAGGTGCAAATGTCTTGAGGCAGCAGCAACCGCAGAGTATTCAAGGACCCAAACATAGCCAGTTCCAGCTCAAGGAGAACAAGCAGTAGAGCAATCCAAAATGATAGAAAGGGGTTGATCACATGGTCATGGTAATGAACCTGTATTTTTCAAAAGCACAGTGAAAATCTAGCATGTCACGATCTGATGTATGCTTTTCAAATATCTGACTGTTCTTCGGTGTATGGATAGTAGTAAAGCCAGAGTAGCAAGGAGGGTCTGTATGGGCCCAACGAGGTAACCTGCATAAGAGATAATGGGGCTTAGACTGTGATTATAACAGTGGAGATGGAGGGTGGACTGATTTAAGAAGTATTCTGGAGGAAAGCCAGCAGGACTGATGGACTGGATGTGGGGAGAGAAGAGGAAGAGTCTATGATGACTCCTAGGTTTGAGGCTTGAGCACTTGGGTAGATCTTGGTGTCATTAACTTAAGAGAATTTGAGGGTGAAGAAGTTGGAGGTAAGTTAGGGTTGCAGCTCAGTCTAGAGTGCCTGCGTCTTCCATGAGACCCTGGGTTCAATCCCCAATACTGACCCTCCAAAAAGGAAGTCTAAATTGTTGAATTTATAATCCTTTAAATATCTGTTGTATCTATAGAGATGCCCCCCTTTCAATCCTGTAACTGATCTTTTCTTCTTCATACGTCTAGAAGAGTTCTCAACTTTGCTTCAAAAAGTTAGCTTTTGTTTTCACTGATTTTCTCTATTGTTTTTCCAGTGATTATTTCACTGCTTTCAATTCAATTATCTTTTTAAATTTCCTTCCTTTTATTTTTACTTTGCTTTTTAGCTTCTTAATGTGGGAATGTAAGACTATATTTAATTTTAGGTGTTTCTTATTTTCTGTATGTGTATTTAAATTTCTAAGGACTGCTTTAGCTACAATCATATCATTTTTGATGTTATATTTTCATTTAAAATTTTTTCTAACTTCATGTGTTTGTTTCCTTTGCCTGATCCATTCATTTGTTGTTGTTGTTGTTGTTGTTGTTTTGAGACAAGGTCTCACTATGTAGTTGAGACTGACCTGGAACTCACAATGTAGCCCAAGCTGGTCTTGAACTCACAGCGATCCTCCTGCCTCAGCCTCCCGAGTGCTGGGATTACAGGCGTGTACCACCACACCCAGACATTTGTTGTTTTTGAGACAAGGTCTCAGATACCAAAGGTAGAGATTTTCCCACAAATGACTTCAGAAGATGGATCCCACAAAGACAGAGAAAAGGCCAAGGTCATGGCTCAGTAAAGTAATGGATTCAGTGGAACTTACCTGAAGTTTTAGTAAAAATGTTGCCAGACAGGATCCAATGAACAGCCTCAAAGAGGAGATAGGGACCTCAACTCGCTCTCTCCTCAGAGTAGGTTCACAGGCTCTTGTCACAGAAAAAGAATTTCTGGACACATTAGTGAGAGGCATAGGCAGAGTTAAAGAAATACATGCTCAAAGAGCAAACAGTATATAGGTGCTTGAGACAGATGCATTAGGATCTCGGGTTGGAGGGGGGTGTGTGTGTGTGTGTGTGTGTGTGTGTGTGTGTGTGTGTGGTCTTTGAATTATCTTTCAAGATGGGTGATCTAAGATGTTCTGCCTAAAAATATTCTTTGAAACCTCTGAATTTGTCTCTTCATTTTAAGATCAGGTTGTTGTCCTTTATCAACTAAGTTAATTTATGTACTTATAGTATCTAAGAGATTCGGATCCAAGCATGGTGGTGCACACTTGTAATCCCAGCACTTAGGAGGCAGAGGCAGGAGGATCACAGTATTTAAGGCTAGCCTAGACTATATGTGAGTTCAAAGCCAGCCTGGACTACATAGCAAGACGCTGTCTCAAAACAAACAAACAAATGAACAAATAGATTTGGATGGGAGAAGCCTGGAAGAAAGCCAAACATGCCAAGGGAGGATAATTCTGGGTAATTCTGTGTCCTAAAGTTGGAATTACTTTTAGAAGTACAGATTTAAAATTATGATTTCACTCATCTCCTTTCTACCTTTTTCTATTCTACCTCAAAAGGACAAAACAGTTGTCAGTGTTACTATTTGCATTATGTTTTAGTTGTTGCCTTAGAGATTACACTATAAAGTTTAATTCACTCTGGTTCATTTGGGGGGGTCACTAAAATTATTTACATAAAACTGCAATTATTATAGTTTCACCAAGCCCCCCTCAACACTTTGAGCTTTTGCTATATACAGAAATACATATTACAAATCCAGTATATATGATAAGCATTTTTATTTAAATAGTTATGCCTTTTAAAGAAATAAAATATATTTAGAGAAACTCGTACATTTATCGACATGCTTACCATTTCTGGTGTTGCCTTTTTTCTGGATCTGAGTTGCCATCTAGTATCAATTTTCCTTAACCAAAAGAACTCATTTTTTTTTTTATAATTCAGATGCTAATAATAATTTTTTGTTTTGTTATCCCTGTTCCCATCACCTTGAAATGTCTTTATTTTGTTTTGTTTTATTTTTTGGAACTGGGGATCGCACTCAGGCCCTTGCTGCTTGCGGGGCAGGTGCTTGAACCATTGAGCTAAATCCTCACTCTCATTTTTTTTAAATATAAGGAACTGATCTGCCTGATGTAGACTTCTAGATTAACCATTTTTAAAAAACTACTCTGACAAGCTCAAGGACCCAAGTTCGATCCCCGGTACCGAAAAATGAAAAACACTTTGAATATACTGTTCTGGTGTCATCTACCCTGCACTGCTTTTGATGAGAAGTCTTTTAGTCATGTCCTTGTTCCTGCATGTCTTTTTTCTCCACACACAGTGTTTTCCTTTACTTTTATGTCTCTTATACAATGTTTCCTCAGCACTTTTTTTTTTTTTTTTTTTTTTTCTGAGACAATGTCCTGCTATGCAGTTCAGGCCGGCCTTGATCTGGGGCAATGATCCTGCTACCTCAGCCTCCCAAAGCTGGAATTACAGGCATGCACCCCCTGGCTTTTCTCAGCAATTTGTGATATTCCCAGGTGTAATTCCTTTGCATTATTTATTTTGCCTGGAATTCATAGATTCTTGAATCATTAAGTTCATGTTTTTCAAGAATATTGAAATTTAGGCATTATAGGGTCTTTCTCTCTTGGCCTTCTCCATACAGACATGTTGGATCAGTTAATATTGTCCCAAGGAGGTAAATATTAAAGATATAAAGTCAGAGAGGTAACAGATAATATAAGGCCTTGTAGGCTACATGAGGACTGTGGTACTCTGAGAGAGATAGGAAATCATTAGAACATTTGGAGAAGAGGGAAAGTGAATTGTAGGGTTATAGGTATATATAACAACATAAGTCTTCGCTTGATCTTAGCCAAAAGGTGGAGCAGTGATGACAACGTAAGTCTTAAAGCACTGTATTAAATGAGAATAACTTATGGCAAAATATTTATATAAACTTCTGAACACAGATGAAAAAGTCTTATACAAAATATTACCAAACTGATTTCAGCAATATATAGAAAGGGTAAGAACCAACTAACTTGATTTTCTTCCCACAACTCAAGGTTCATTTCATGTAAGAAAACAAACCTATTACTTGCTTCATTAATGGGGTAAAAGAAATTATATGAGTCAGGCATGGTGGTTCATGAGGGTATTCTCAACAGTCTGGGAAGTTAGCAGGAGGTTCACAAGTTCAAACCCAGCCTTAACTTAGTGATTTAGGAAGACCTTGTTTGGAAAAAAAAAGGGGGCCAGGGATATAGCTGTAATCCTAGCACTTGGGAAGCTGAACAGGAGGATTGCTGTGAGTTTGAGGTCAACCTGGGCTACATAGTGAGTTCAAGTCCAGCCTGGAGTACACAGTGAGATCCTTTCTCAAAAACAACAACAACAAAAAATAATAAAAAAAAAAGGAAACAAAAAGAAATGTGTATCGCAGGAAGTCCAAGTGTTCCTTATTAGTGGGTCTCTTTTAAGTGCCCTCATGGATATGCACTCCTTCCACCTTTTAGCTCTCAAGAGCATATGCTCAAATACCTCAAACTGGCCAAAGTGGATATATCTTGGGAAACTATGTGTAGGGAAATGTAAAGATCCAAGTCTTACAGTTTCATTACAACTTAACTAGACCAACTCACATGTCCACAATTCTGAGGGAAGCTGGAAAATACAGTCTAAATGCACTGTGGGGGACAAAAGAGGGACTGATTTAGAGCAATATGAATATAAAGACTGGCACGAGTGCATGGACAAAACATCAGGAGCTGGCTGGGATGTACTTCCACTGTTTGGCAGGACAAACACATAAGTTCACCATGGATTCCTTGAGAGGCAGTCTTAAGCATGTTTAGGGACCGTTCCTGGAAGGCTGCCTGCTTACTGTACAAGTTCCAATGGGGAGCTCCTGAGGATCCCAGTACCCCACACAAGGGGAATTTAAATGCTTGTCAAACTTTAAATGCTTTATGGTGCAATAATCACCCAAGTTTAGTCTTTCCTTTTCTAAGACGACCTATGACCTCTCCCATTCCAATCCTAGAACCAACAGAGAAGGTAAAGAATGAGTGAGACAGAAGTGGAAAAAAGCAATCCTAAAATTCATTTGGAACCAGAAAAGAACTAGAATAGTGAAGGCAATTCTGGGCAACAAAGGCAAGGCTGGGGACATCACAATCGCTGATTTGAAATTATACT